AACCACAGAATTTCTATTGCATTCTGAGTAGCTTCTGTCACTCATCAATCTGCCAGTCTTTTCTTCTGCAATGTCCAATCTGCTGTTTGATGCGTACAGTGTGTTACTGTAACCTCAGATACTATAATTTTCACTCCCAACTTTCATTTTGGGTCTTTGTCACATGGCCAGCGTATAAATCTTCCAACATGTTCTCACTGTATGTTTCTACAAATACATGAAGCTTTGCTCTGGGGTGTAGGTTAGTTCCTGGGATCCTTCCCGATCTGGCCTCTGGCTGCCTCAGATAGAATGAGAACAATGCTTGGCCCAGAACTTGTTATTCCGCACTACAGAAGCACGATTCTTCTGCACACCCCTCTTTCAACCACGAGTCTGAAGTCCTCTAGACTGAATGGTGGGAACAAGCACAGTTCTCAGCCCTGTTTCAGGACTCGCAGTGTTACCGCGAATTCTCTCAGGGCTCCCCACCCCCAGCCCCCAAGGCTGCTAATGAATACTCAGCTCAGTATTCTAAGGAGCTCCCCCATACTCTCATGTACTGGAGATTGAATCCAGGGCCTTCACACTGAGCTACGTCTGCAGGCACGTTTTATTTTTTTATTTTGAGGCAAGGTCTCACTAAATCACCAAGTTGCCTAGTTTGGACTGGAATTTATGATCTCTTGCCTCGGCCTCCCAGAGTGCTGGGATTGCAGGTGTGCACCCCATACCCGGCTCTGGGGGCCCGCTGTAGAGCTTGGGCATTCTCTCTCTGTGGGGTGCTGCTCTTTGTGGTTCTTTGTCCTCCAGACTACAGCTGCATTGCTCCCTCAGACTCTTGGCCCAGAATCTGGCTCAGGGAGTCTCCGGGCTCAGCCCCAAGCTCCTGATCCCTGGGCACAGCCAGCAAAGGCTCAGGCTGTGGGAGCAGCTCCTGCCAGCGCAGCCACTGGGTGTCCAGCTCTGAGTGACTATTGCCCTCCACTGCCCAACGTCCACTGTCCTGAAAACCAAAGTTTCTGATATTTTATTTGCTGATCATTTCAGGTTGAAGGGCAAAGCTGGTCTCTATTTCTCTGTCTTGCTTGGAAAAATAATTTCTTTCTAATTTAATTTTAATTAATTTCAGTAGCTGTTGCAGTGGGTTAGGATAGTTAAGAGTTGCAGCAGTTGCTGTTGAGTTTTGAAAAAAACAAATATAGCAACAGTAGAAAAGGATTCCTTTCCCCCTATAGCCCCTCCAGCATTTGCTATCGATTTTCTAATGATACACACTCTCCCTGGGATGAGATGGAATCTCACTGTTGTTTTAATTTGCATTTCTTGAATGACCAATGATACTGATCTTCCCAGAAGAATTAAGAACATCATACCCCAGTGGTATATGTGTGCCTCAGTTTATAGCAGCACAATTTGTGACTGCTAAATCTTGGAAACAGCCTAAATGCCCATCAACTGAGGAATGGATAGAAAATTATGATATTTTTATACAATGGAGTACTACTCAACTATAAAGAAGGATAAACTTGAGGCTTTTATAGGTAAACAGATGCAACTCGAGACCATATTCATCAGTGAAATAAATCAGACTCACATGTGTAAAGATCATATTGTCTCCCAGGTATGAGAAACTGAAAGAATAAATAAGGTCCAAAATGAACAATAGATTTTGTGAAATGGGAAGAAATTTTTCAAAAGGAAAAAAAAAAACTAGGGTGGGGATGGGGGAAAGAAGGAAGGAAGGAAGGGAAAAGGGAAAGAAAACCAAGATAGTTACACTACTAGTTACTTTTAGTTCATTGAAAAGAAATATTTCTGCAAATATTTGGAGAATTTTTATGCCTGTGACTTGTACTCTAAGATGCTATTCTAATATCATTTTGTTATGAAATTTTGTTTTACTTTTTTCCATAAAATAAAGAAAAGAAAACATGCATGTAAACTTTAAGAGAGCACTTTTTCCTTTTTTTTGGCACCAAGGATCAACTCACTCCCATGCGCTTGCCAGGCCGGCACTTATGCCTCTGAGTGAAATCCCCAGCCCCTTTTGTTTTTGGTTTGTTTGTTTGTTGTTTTGCAAGCGAGCACTTTTTAAAATTGATGGAGCAGATGTGGGAAGCCCCCAGTCAGACGTGATACATGAACTGGAGCCGTGAGGCTCCGTCTTCAAGCCTGTGTTATTCCATTTTCCTGAGTTTAACAGTATCGTTCTAACAGTTATAAAGGTGAAGAAACAAAAGTCGAGTTACTCAAGCCTGGCATGATGGCCACTGGGAGCTTGTTTTTAAAACGTAAAAATGGTAAAACTGCAGACAGAGATGTGTGTTACTTACTTTTGCTGAGTTATACACAGTTCACACGGAAAATAGGTCACCAAGCTGGAATAATATCTTTAAAGTAAAACTTGGTTGTTCTTTTCTATCAATGTTTTAAATTGTTGTTAAACTGTAATATCATTGTTAAGTATGATTTTTCCCTTTTTCATCAAATATATAGTGTAATTTAAAATAGTGATCTTATTCTTATTTGTACTGTAATATGTATTTTATTTTTAACATTTTTACAGCATGATTATACATATGATTTCCATAAAAAATATTTACTATTTCATTTCCTTCGGCTACTTATTTTTTGTTTCAAGATTTTTATTGAAAGTAATCTTGTTGCAGAGGGAAGCACCTAAAAGGTATCTGCTCTGAGGAGCAGGTTTGGCATTTGCCAACAACTTTTACAATTCATATTCCAAAAAATATGTTGACTTCCTTGATATATTTGTGTAAAATCTTCTTCCAATAAAACAGAAAAATAAAAGCTAGATATGGTGGTGTTCACCTATAATCCCAGCACTCTGGGAGACTGAGGCAGGAGGGGCTCAAATTCAAACCCAGATTGGGAAAGTTTGTGATTCAATGAGGCCCTGTCTCAAATTGTTAAAAAATTTAATAAAGGGCTGGGGATGCTATTCAGTGTGAAGTCCTGGGATTCAATTCTTAGTACCAAGGAATACAGCATGTGTGGGAAATGATACGTGTTATACGGAGAATTCACTGCAGAATTATTTACAATAGTAAAAGATTGGAAACATCCAAATTTCCCTGGGGAGGCTGAATATGGGGCCCTTAGCTGCAAATCACACTGTTTTGGGGAGCAGAGGGAGAGACCTGGGCTCCCCCTGTATGAAGCTGATCTCTGAAAACTGGCTCAGCACTGGTGAGCGGTTGCTCGGAGAGGCCCTAGGTGGCTCGAGAGGCCAGGGCAAGGAAGGAGATGGAGCTTCTCCAGGCACTGCTGTCACCCTGTTGCACCTCGGTGCTTCCTACATTTAAGCCAATTACAAGTAAAGCAAATAAAATTTCAGACACATTCATTATGAAAAGAAACAAGGTCAAGAAACTAGGCCAATGATTTTTTTAATCTCCAAGGTAAAAATAATAGTCAAAAGCACAATGTGAGTTGGATCCTCAGTATAAAAAAATACAAAAAACCAGAAAGTGGTAGTTGACCCCAAGTCAGCATTTCTAGTATTTCACGGTCTTGGGACCCACACAGACGCTCACCCGGCCTGCCCCACGGTTGGTCGCTCCTCACGGTCCCCTCCGTGTCCTCATCCCGGGAAGGACAGATCCTTCCTTCAAAAACAAACAAAGAAATAAAAACTTCATCAAATTTCTTGTGTGAACTGGAACGACTCATTATTAGGTATTAATAGAGGTATTCGCTCCCTATTTTTAAATTGTTTTTCATTTCTATGAGCAAACATTTGCAGTCCATGATGATTTCACGGTGGGGAACCGCAACCTGCACAGAACACATCCTCCATCTTTCTATGCCCTTCTGTTCCTTTCTCTTCCCTCACGTGCCCTTCCCTTTTGCAAAAGATCTCTGTTTCTTATTGCTCACCTTGTTCTGAATAGAATAGTTGCTGGGTAAGAAGCTGTCGGGTGTTTGGTCGCAGGGAAGGGACAGGGACACAATTACTAAGTAAAAACCACGATGGGGAGGGAGCCAGGCCATCTGGGCCTTATCTTCCCCAAAAATGTTTCCCATAAGGTTAACTCTTGGGATTCAGCTGCTCACTTCCTTTGGAAAGACAGTTTTGCACTGTTTATCTTCTTGAGTTTTTTCATTCTCTTCTGGGGGTCATCACTGCCCCAGAAGGTTAGCATCATATAACAGAACCCCTGCCACCTCTCCGTGGCATTTGGCTTAGATCTGCAGGGTGGCCAGGACAGCAGGTGGAGGATGGGTCAGCTGGGAAGCAATATCCCTTCCCTTCAGCTTTCTGTGGGCCTGGCCATGTTCCTGTGGCACAGAAATATGACGACAGAGCAGTGGCACAAGCGCTTTCCAAGCATCTTCCATGTCACATTTGATGACTTCCTACTGTCTAAGGCAAGGCACATGGCCAAGCCCAGGGTCATGGGAGAAGGGTATAACTCTGTCTCCAGGGAGAGGCACAGCACATGACTAGATGGAGAGGGCAGGGCAGGAAACTTGGGGCTTTATGCCCTCTCCCACAAACATCACCATATTAGTGTTTGTATCGCAGTTACGTTTATATACGCTCTTCAATAGAATTTGTTGATTTTGGTAATGCTAGGAATTGAACCCAGGGCCTTTGGAATGCTAGTACAAACACTCTGTCCCCAGCCAGTATAAGATCTGAAGTATCTTTGCTTGCTGCTGTGTTTTTCACTTGATCCTCAGAGTAACTGTGTGAGGACCTTGTTTTTATTTTCCACATTTTACAAATCAAGAAACAGGCTCACCAAGAATTAAGAAGCATTAATGTACAAGGAACAACTCTCCACTATGAATGTAATCATTAGGTACTACAGATGTGTATTAATAAAATAAATAAACAGGTGAGAAAAGAGAAAGAAAGAAAGGTCAAGATCACAGTCAGTTCATAACAGAAGGGGAGCTCTCTAATAATGCCCACGGAGAGGGGAAAGTGGGGGGCCTTTTCTTGCTTTGCTCATAGTTGGTAATCTTTTCTCTCCCCTCCCCTTTCACAGGCTAGCTATGGAAAACACCAGAAAAACAAGGTGACAAACACACACCAGGTAAAGTGATTTATCCATACGGAGGGTGGATAACGCATAGGAGATTGTTTGATTTCTTCCTTTTCCAGGGACTATCTAAAATGGTTTCATTGTATTCCTGCCAAAAGAAAAAGTAATTGCTATATCATTTCAACTATCAAAACTCCAATTACACAAAGCAGCAGCAGCCAAAGGAGATGGGATCATGCTTTGTAGACAAATTGGCTATGGTAATAATTGCAAAACATTCACAGCAATCCCTCCCAGCATGTGAACAACAGTCATGTGCAAATGAAGGGTGGCTGTATAAACATACATATTTACATTTTTAAATCAATATTTTAACACATAAATATTTTAATAATTTGACCAGAATCTTTCAAGGGATAATGTCATTAACCATACTTCATTACTTCTCAGAATTTGCACTTAATTTTTAAGGGCATATTAGCTGGAGACGATATCTAACAAAGAGCCACAACCACAATAAACACATAGGGAGAGGCTCACTACTGACGACATTAGATGTAACATAGGGGTCCCTTTTCCATTTATATTTGTCATCCCGTGGAAAAGTTATTGGAATTTTAGCGAGTTAATTCCAATCTAACATTTGCAGTGTAACCCCTGTAAGAATAAAGACATTAAGACATAGTTATAATTACAGGGGTCCAAGGGGTCGAGTTCGGCTATAATGAATGCTCACTGGAGCAAAGGCCTCGACCCAGGGTCTAACTTGTACTTTATTAATTCATGAAGGGATGGCCTGAGGGTGAGTGACAGTGAGAATGGTGGGACATATAATGTGAGTACGTGAGCTGGGCTGGGTAGGAGGCCTTAGAGCACCTCTGCAACATGCAGAGAGAAGGCTATGCAGAAAGAGCAGTCTGCATAACACAACTGAGGTGGCCTAGCTCTGTGTGTAAACTTTTCTGCCTTGGGAAGTCATAGCCTCTTATCTTGAGGTCCAAACCCATTTGACAGTGTGGAGTGGTGGCTCTTCATCCTGCCCAGCTCAACCGTGTGTAGGGAGTCACTGAGCAGGGAAATAGTAACTGTGGCCTAACTTTAAAGATTACCCATCAGCACTTCAGCCAGCCCTATCTGCATGGCTTAGAGCCAATTGAAGGGAGAAGGAGATGGTCCAGCCAGCTCTGTACATCTCAGTACATGGAAACAGGGCCAGGTTTAATCAAGAGCAAGAGGTAACTGCTCTCAGTTCAAGGAGAGTCATCTAGGTGGTTCCGCACAATGTTAAACTATATCTCAAACATTCTTTTTTGAAAAGAAACTACTAGGTTTTTCTTTGACCAACACTAACAGAATTTACATTTGAGCTAGTCAGCACAGTGTATAAATATTTAACATTTCTTGAAATTACATTGTATTGATAACAGAGACCCCATTATTCTACCCACTATTGTGACAGCTCAGATTAACTAGGTTAAATACAAAAACTGTATTGGGAATACTCCCAAACCAAGCATAAAATATTTAAATTAATTTTAAGAGACTTTGAACTAAGTAAAAATATTTTGACAAGGATGAAACAGTGCTTAAGCAATTATTGACCTAATCAAAACCCTTAATATCACCACCAAAATCCACCGTGGTATTTTTTATTTAGTTTACAGAAAGAATACATAAGTATAGGGTGCAGAAAGAAAATGTTTAGTGCTACTTACATTCATTAAAGCTCTGCTCTAGATAAATTTATTCTTATCACTATGAACAATATTTGTGAGGCATATGCTCCATAAAAAGTTTATAAAGTACCTAACTATAGAAGTTACATATAGATTGGTGTGTAGTATATAAAACCACATTCCATAGGAATAACTTTAGCCTTTTAAAAAATGAAGTTGCAGGCTGACGCTGCAGACATTATGTCCCATATTTAATAAGAATCCCTGACCCTGACAGGCATTAAATGTAAATGTTCTCAGCTAGTCAGCCTTTTGCAAATGCACTCAGGTTATTTTATTCACTGTCAATGCTTTGATGAAAAAGCTTTCTATGCAGCAGATCTGAGAGTTGTTTAATACCGGCGGTTGGTGAGAGAAACATCTCTCATTCAGCCAATGCAGAAAACCTAGGACCACCCCTCAACCCACACATGGATTAAACTGTTGGATCCGGCCGCAGCCCCTGCTCCCTAAATGCATTCTGCATCCAGCCTGTCCTGCCTGCTGTGAACGCCCTGACAGCTACGCATGCCTGTCCTGGTTCTGTGAGGCTGGAACAGGCATCTCTCCCAGCCTGATTCTCCAAGACTCACGTGCTGCTTTGGTGCCACATTTATGTCACTCATCACCATCCCCAGGTATCCTAGGGAACGTGTGTTCTTGATGGCCCAGGGAGAAAGTCCTTGAACAATGGAAATCAGTTCATGGGCATCCTAGAAAGACTTTACATCTAGTAGGAGTTCAAAATATGGTTTGTATTTAACAATTAATAAACTGCATGACTCAAATTCATTTCATAAGACATATTCAGCACCAGATGTGTGGCTCCTTGATGTGATTGCTGAGATTCACTGATTTCCTTGAAGGCACGATTTCATGTTGACCTTAGCGTAATAATGGCTCCCATTAATTGCCTGCCTAACACCTGCGGACCATCACACATGCATGATGTATAATCTTTATGATTACCTCATGGAACTGCAGATGAGGAAATCATGTTTCACGGGAGTTACTTTCCCAGAGCCGTATGACCCTAGTGGCCCAACTTGAGGGAAGAAGCTGAATGTGTCCGGTTCCTAAAACCACCGGACCACACCACCCTCATCCATGTTTGAAAAGGAAGCCTTTGGTTTGTTGTTCAGCGCGTGGTTATTTGTGTTTTATAGCTGTCTTCAGTGCGAGCCATCATTCAGGAGGAGAAGGTGGATAAAAAGTGCTTACTGAACAAATACACACGTCGCTCCTGCAGCAAAGTCTTCTGCCAGCCCTGGGAGAGGTGCGTGGATGGGACCTGTGTCTGCAAAGTCCCCTATCAGTGCCCCAAGAATGGCACCTCCGTGTGTTCAACCAATAAGAAAAGGTACCCGACTTACTGCCATCTGAAGAGTTTTGAATGCCTTCATCCACAGACAAAGTTTTTACATAATGGAACATGCACAGATGAAGGTAGGAACAGCCTATTTATCCAGTTCTTCTTGATCTATGAGGGCCACATATACCAGCCTTTCCATTAGGAAACCCTTTTGCTATGACATGTTCAGATAACAACTCTCAATGCTTTAGACCTGAATAGTAATCAAAGTGATAACTAAAGAAATCAGGGTCACCTGAATCCAGAGCACCCAGCTTTGAGGTCCCACTACTGCCCTTTAGAATGGTGCCCCCTCTCACTTCTACTTGGTGAAAAGGATTATTCTCAGGGTCACCCAACTGGTTCAAAATCCAGAGAGAAAGCCTTGATAGGAGTCGAGTGCAGACCTGGGATCTCCAACCCCAGTGGTTTCTTGTAGCCTCCAGCCCTTGGCCCCATCCCTGTCCCCATTGCCGATGGGTATCCCAGGGGGGCTGAGTCGCTCTGGCCTACATGTGCTCCTGGGCAACTTGGCCCACCAGCCACGCTTGCCTCCTCTTACCTGGGCGCCCAGTGAAACGAGGAGGCTGTGACTCCAAGACACGGAACTCGGGGTCCTGTGTTTAAGGTCAGGGATCTCTGCGTTTCCATCTCCTCCGGGCCTCGTCTCTGTTACTGACCAGCTGTGTGATCTCTGTGGGCCCCAGTTCTTTGAACAATGAAAGCTCCTGTCATAAGATTCTCATGGAAATTAAGTAAAAGGATGCATATAATGTTCTTTGCCTAGTGCTTCAGACACAGAGAGTATTTGTTAAATTTGAGCTACAACAGCAAAACTCAGGCTCTGTCTTCTGCTCCCAAGTTACCACAGACATAACCGGACTTATGAGCAAATGTGTAAAGCACTCTTTTCAAAGGTGCCTGGCACGCCAGCTCTCAGTAGCATAGGGGTTCTGTGGTAGGAGTTAGCGGGGTAAGGTAAAAAGAGGAGCCCAGCCTGTGGATGGGGAGGAGCAAGAGCGCGGTCGCTTCACCAGGGCTGGCATTAAATGCTCTAACTATGTGAGAACACACAAATCCCTCTGGGACTCTGGTAGTTGTCTGACTTATTTCTCAGACTGGACGGTGGAATAGGAAGAACAGAGCAACTTCCAATGCCCAGCGTCAGCGCATGGGCCAGTAAGTCAACATGGGGATTCAGGCTCCTCGTGTGACCATGCAGACAGACAGGCTTCCTGCTCCCAAGCTGGGTGAGAGGACTCCCTGATCCTCTCTGGGATGGATAGCAGGGCCCTGGCCACGTGAGGCCTCATGACAGAAACGCCTGGCCTTGTTTGTTAAATCTTCATGGTGTCCAAAGTTATTTTGAAATGAGTTGTTCTGTTGTTTTAAAGGCTCTTAAATTGAACAGGAAAAACCAAATGCCTAAATATTGCTCATTCTTTTGGTTTTTTAAGGAAAATTCTATGTTACCTTAAATTATGGAATCACAGATTCAGAGGGAATCGTTAAAGTAAAACTTGTGGGTCAAGAGCAGGAAATGTTCATTTGTAGAAGCAGCTGGGGCATGGCGGAAGCTAACGTGGCCTGCTTCGACCTCGGGTTTCCACAGTAAGTGCTGGGATCGGAGCTTTCTCCCGGGCTTCATTTCTGGTTCCAGCTGCTGGCTTCTGGTTACCTCAGTTCCATTCCTCGGTTTCCTCCTATGTGACCTGAGAACATCCACTCCCAAACTCATAGCACTCTAGAGATAAATGTGTTCATGTTTGCCTAGCGCTTAGAACTTGGCCAAACCCAGGGTGTCTGTTTATTTGAGAATTTGAGCTGAATCCTTGGGTGATCCTGAGAGTCTCAAATACCTTCGCTCCTGTGTCTCACTACCCAGTTATGATTACATCTACTTTTCCACATCTAACAGGGCCTTTCCTCTTTGGCCTTGATCAACTTTGCATAGGTTTGCTTACCTGACTAGTCTTTCATTTTTGTATTTGTAAATCGTCTTTTGTTTCTTTATTTTCTACTTCTTTAATCATTGCTGTTATCTTCAACTCTCCCCTTTCTTCCCTCATATTTTTTTCTGGTTCCTCAAGTTGAGTGCTTAACTCAGTCCTTTTCAATTTTTCTTACTTTCTTAATACAAACATGTAGGGTACCCATTTCTGTGTAGGTAATGCTGTATCTGCACACCATAAACTCTCTAAGTGATATTCTATTTATTATTCTATTCAAAATATCTTCTAATTCTCGATGCAATTTCATTTTTGATCCATTTACAATTTAGAAGGTTTTTTTTTTTTTTTAGTGGTACTGGGGATTGAACTCACAACCGTGTGCTTGCAAGGCAGGTGCTTATGCCACTGAGCTAAATCCCCAGCCCTAGAAGGTTTTTTTGTATGTTTTAAGTAAACACATTGGCTTGCTGTTAATTAACTTTTTGTTATGGATTTCCTATTTCATTGCATTGCTGTCAGAAAATTTCCCTGTATGACAACTTTTAATCTATGTAGGTATTGGTGCTTTTTAAATATATCACCTGCATAGTTCTGTAATGGCAACTATTAGAATAAGCTGTGTTGTTAACTCTTCCATTTACAATCTTTTTCCATTTCTTTCACCTTTTTGCATTTTCCTGTTAAGTGTGTTCTTTGTACATAGAATATTTTTCTAAAAATCTAATGTGTAAAAAAAAATCCAATATGTCAATTGTTATTAACTGAAAAGCTTAGCCCATTTTACCCTATTGTGATTATTTTCATGGGTGGCTTTATTTTCCTTATCTTATTTTGGGCTTATTCTTTACCCTACGTATTCTGTGCTTTTGTTCCTCCTCTAATTTCCATTAGAGTAATCAGTTTATAAAGTGTTTTGGTTACTTTTCTCTCATCGTTGAGACAAAATACCTGACACCCAACATGAAGGAAGGAAAGGTTTATTTAGCTTAGTTTTTTGGAGGTTTCAGTCCACACTCAGCTGGCTCCAAGGCAGGGTGGTGTGTCCGAGGGGCAGCCATTCGTGGTGGCTGCAAGCAGCAAGAGCATAAAGGGAAAGCATACCTCCTTCCTGTCCTTACATTGTGTGTCAGTTCCCACTCACACCACCAATCCAAGCACTAGACAATGAACCAATCACAAATGCTAGATTCAGCCACATCCATGACTGTATGTGCTGGGGGGAGCATCTGAACACAAATCATAACATAGAGCATCTCCACCCCTCCCCATCCTCCTCCAGGCCATTCTAAAGTGATTATTTTAAATCTTATAAAACCTAGTGAAGGAGGTGTATCCCCTTTTACAGTTGAAAATACTAAGGCAAAGAGTCTGTAATGCAGACTTATAGAGAAATTACAGATTATAGAAAATAAGAGGAAATTATGCCAGGTCCTTACCTACAGTATGACTACAAATGCAAGTACTGTTATTTTTAGCATCACATTTCATTATTCTGTTTGCAGAGGAGCTCTTCATACTCAGAAAAGATTTCATTTTTCTGAAGATCTCCACACAAAATCCACAGAATGCTTGCAAGTGCACTGTGGAGGATTTGAGACCACTTTGGCTGAGTGTGCTTTTTCCAAGAGAAGAGTTCAGGGGAGCCAGGATCTAGCTCGTGTGCTGTGTTACACACCAGATGCAGGTTGGTGGAGCCCCTGCCGAGTGTTCTCCCCTCCTATTTATTTCACACTATGCTGATGGTAAACCGATGACTGGCACTCAACTGTCAGCCACAGAGGCAGTGACGTGGACTGCATCATGTGTGAGGCCTTAAGAGCCTAAATTGATGATTTTCCCTTGTTGTTCTTTCTTAGGCATCTTTCTTTTTTTCCTCTCACTCAGTCCATGTTTGCAGTCCATAATGATTCCGCCCATTATGGGGGGCGGATGCATGCACCTGATACATCTTAATTCTTTTTACATCTGCTTCTCTTCCCCTTCCTCGTGGACATTCAAATATTACTTCTATCCGGGTTCCCATAAGAGAAGCAAGGTTACTTGAGTCCCCTGCTTCCTTGAACATCTGGACTCATGTTACTACAGCAAATATCTGTCCATCAAACAGCAGGGGAAACCTCAGCGTCTCCTCCCACAGTTCTAGCCTGCATACATTTCTTTACAATGTTTCGGTGGCCAGACCGGTGCCTCAGTTTCCCTTCAGTCTTCTGTCACTTTGCTGCTCCATCTTGCCATTGGACTATTCCAGTGATGTGTGTGGTGTCAAAACCAAAGCAACGACTCCCTTCTCTGTGCTTGAAAAAAAAAGGACCATAAAAATGTCCTGGGCTTCCTGAGAGAGGGAGGTTGCTGGAGTGGCCTGAGGGGAACAGGGGAGAGGCAGGGTGAGCCCCTGGCAGAGAACGATTGTGCTTCTGGGACCCCACACCAGCGCCTGCAGATGTCCACCACTGGCCTGGCTCTCAGCCGAAAGGGCTTCTGCATTAGCCAGCTTTCCAGTTCTGGGTCAGTCTCTGGACTCTGCTGGTGTTACCAGCACATCTGGTATCTCTCTGTCAGGCTCTGTCTTTATCTTAATATCCCTGTTACCTTAAAAGTGCAATAAGGAAATCATCCCTCAAGTCTGTTGCTAAACTGCACAAAAATAACTCCTGCTTTCCAGATCTGGCAAGAGAGTCCTTTCAGTGTGTGAACGGGAAGCGCATTCCTGCAGAGAGAGCGTGCGACGGAGTCAATGACTGTGTGGATCAGAGTGATGAGCTGTGCTGTAAAGGTAGACACTGAACCGTAAATCCCGGAATGCACCAGTCTAGCCTACACTGAAGACAATCCACCTCCTTCCCCCTCCCGCCTTCAAGAATCAGAAGAACCCTCTCTGCTTGTGTTTGTCCAGGGTGCCAAGACGGGAGCTTCCACTGTAAGTCGGGTGTTTGCATTCCAAATCAGCACAAATGCAACGGCGAGGTGGACTGCATCACCGGAGAGGACGAAGTGGGCTGCAAAGGTCCTGGTAAGGCTTAGCTGGGCACGCAGGCGCAGGCCTCCAGCGGCAGGCAGAGGCAGAGGCTGCACGTTCAAGCGCATCAGAGCAGTGGCTGGCAAATTTTCTCTCCCATTCTGTCGCTGTCTTTTCACTCTGTTGGCTGTTTTCTATGCAGTTTTTTACTTATTGTAGACTCATTTGTTGAGTTTGCTATGATTTCCTGTGCTTTCAGAGTACTATTTAAGAAGTCTCTGCTTGTGCTATGATGGTAAAATGTTTCACCTGTTTTCTTCTAGTAGTTTCAAGTCTTCTATCTCAGTCTTTGCTCCACTTTGAATTCACTGTTTTAATCTTATACAGATGAATATCCAGTTTTCACAGCACCATTTTTTTATTTTTTATTTTTTATTTTTTTTGTCCACAGCACCATTTGTTAAAGAGCCTGTTTTTTCCCCCAATATATATTTTTGACTCTTTCTTAAGAATCAGAAGGTTGTGTTTGCATGGGTTTGCTCCCATACCCTCAATTCTATTGTTGGTCTATGTGTGTAGTATTTTGCCAGTACCATGGAGCTTTTGTTACTACGTGCTTGTGATATATTTCAAATCAAGATATTGTGATTCCTCTAGCATTACTTTTTTGTCCAGAATTGCCTTGGCTTTTCTAGGTCTTTTGTGCTTCCATATGAATTTTAGATTTTATTTTTAGTTCTATAAAGAATACTATTGGTATTTTCATAGAGACTGCACTGAATCTATCGATCACTTATGGTAATGTGGTTACTTTAACAACATTAATTCTGTTAATTCTTGAATATCGGAGGTTTTTCTGTCTTCTCGTATCTTCTTCCATTTCTTTCTTCAGTGTTTCATAATTTTCATTGTAGAAGTCTTCCACTTCCTTTGTTATGTTGATTCAGAGGGAGCTATTTATTTAGATTTGAAACTCTTTTAAATACTCTTTTAAATTGTTTTCTTGCTTGCTTTCTCAGGTAGTACATTATTGATGTATAGAAAAGCTATTAATATTTTAGACTTGATTTTGTAACCAGTTACTTTCCTGAATTTGTTCATCAGCTCTAAAATTCATTTGGTGGAGACTTTAAGGTCTTACACGTATAAGATCATATCAGTTGCAAAGGATATTTTGGTTTCTTCCTCTGCTATTTGTATTCCTTTTTTTTTTTTTTTTTTGCCAAAATGCTGTGGCTAAAAATTCATGTTCTATATTGAATAGGAGTGGTGAGAGTAGGCATTCTCGTTTCATTCCTTATTTTAGCGGAAGCAGTTTCAGTGTTTTTGTTTTTGGACAGGGTCTCACTGTGCACTTCAGGCTGGCCTTGAGCTTATATCACAGGCTGGTCTTGAACTTGCAACGATCCTCCTGCCTCAGTCTCCTGAATGCACAGGTTCAGTTTTTCTCCATTCAGTATGATGTTGGCGAGGCAGCTTTTTAATTTTAGGGCTTGAAATAGAGCACTCCATGCCTTTCTGGCCTTTTTTTTAGTGAATCAAAATATGATAAGAAAAAAAAGCAAGACATTTAAAAATTTATTAGAGTACTTAAAAGTGAATAAAATTTAATAAAAGAGAAAAAACTATCAACAAAAGAAAAAATCTTTAAAAGAAATGAATAAAGAAAAAATTAAGTGTGTCCACAATTTCCTGCACACCCAGAAGTGTGGACTGGTGAAGGTTCTCTCTTTCCTGGACCTGTGATATTGGAAATCACCAGGCAGAGGGAGGGAGGGGCCCCCGGGGACTCCTGGGGGAGTGTCCAGCAGACCTGGGTGGCAGCAGTTCCCTGCTCTGTTCCTCAGGGTTGGGCCCACACCCAGCTACATCACTCATGGTCCAGGCACATCCCGTCTCCAGTGGTGACAGGTGTCTGCTCCAAGCAGGATGCCTGAGGGGGCAGAGTCAGCAGGCACTGTCCAGCTGTCACCTCAGCCCCTCTGAAACTGTCCAGGCAGGCGCTGCTGCCCACAGTGCCATCCATGCCTGAGCCCTGTAGCTGAGCCATCTCAGGTCTGCAACAAGCACCCTCCCATGCTGTCTCTGTGCTGCTGCCCACCCAGTCACTAGATCCCTGAGCTGTGGCTGTGCTGTGCCCTCTAGTCTGACTGGCCTGGTCCCCACACCCAGCCCCTCTCCGGGACTCTTTCCCAGGGCCATCTGCCCTGCAAGGCTCAATTCTGACTCAGTCCCTGCCCCAGGTTGCTGCTGGGCTAATCTGCAGGTTTCTCCCATGTTGGGGCTGCTGTCCCTCAGGTGTCACCAGGCCAGTGGCTCTCCCAGCTTCCCTGTGCATGTGAAGCATGGTCCATCTCCCAGCTGGGGCTGGCCATGGGGGCTGATCTGTGATTTTTGCTGTATTGCCTGTTTCTCTGCACTTTTTAGGTTTCCGGTCACTCTTTTTTGATTCCCAGAGTTCTTCCCCTCTTCAGAAAACATTGGTATGATACAAAAATATAGTGAATGTTTCAATTTTTAAAAAACTTATGATGGTGTTGCAGAAAAACCAACATCAAACTGAATGGAAGACTCTTTGCACCGAAGCATCTAGACGGCAATGTTTATTGATCTGATGAGAATCAGTTTCAAACCATCAGCCATGAGTCAGTTTACAGTACAACTTAAATACAGTTTGCAAGCAGGAAGTACAAGGCCGATGGCAGGTTATTACGTGATAGGTTACATGAATTAAGTCATATATTGTCAGGCAAGCTAGTTCTAACAGAGTTACTTAAAAGGAATTGTTTACCATGATGTAGGAACATCCTGGGGATGAGGGGAGGGCTTGAGCAAAGCAAGTAAAGTTAAATGTGTCATTGACTGGGCAGTTTGTCCCAAACATGAAGTCCTTGAGGCATGCTGGAAACAGTATATATTCTTCTAACTAAGGAAAAACACAAGCTGGATGTGCTCAGGTTGGCCCAGTGCATTATCAGAAGAAGTAGCTGAATGCAGACAATCAAGGCTGACTGAGTTTAGTACGCTAACTGCATGACACGAAGCAGAAGCATAGTCATAAGCCACTGATTGATTTTTCACTTAGCTTTAAAATAAGTTTGTTATTGTACAATTGGACCCTTACAACAGTAAGAGGTGTACTGTCGTGAACCACCACCATCACCACTACCACAGCCAATGCTCCCTTCTAACACACCTTCCTGTCCTTCTCGCCACTTTTTGCAGCAGCTCTGGAGTGCTCTTTCTGTGTCTTTAGTTGCACTGTCCTAGTTGCCTCCGTGCCCTGAATTGATTCAAAGCATTGACCTTCCATGGTCATTTTGACTTGGGGGCAGAGCTGCAAATCACAGGTTACCAGATCTGGTGACCAACATGGGTGAGGACAAGCTGCTTTGCTGTTGGATGGCACTGGCAGCAGCATTCACCATATTTTTTTAAAAAATTTTGTATTTAAAGAGAAAAGAAAACCCCAGGAAAAAAAAGGGTAGAAACAATACAGAATTTCAGAAAAATAAACAGTCAGAAATCACCAGTCAGTAAGTTACATACCGTCATCTTAGAAATAGTTGCTAGATTTACAAAATTAAAGCATACAAAGTGATATTCAAATAATGACACTGCAAACAGTTCTGCTCAACGATCCAGCAAGAACTTAGTAATATGGTTATCAGTCCTACACACTTGTTTTTTATCTTAAAGAGGGTAAGATTAAATATAACAAAACAGTTCATAAGGAAACAATTTAAAGAAACACAGATTTCAAAGCAAGTCCACTGGAGATCTTCACTGTCTATCTTATTTTCTCTAGTTTTCTTCCAAATAGTTGTCCCCATCTTCGCACATATTGAATATATACTGAACATTATAGAACTAATCAAATTCTTACAGGATGATGAAGCCTTTTTAGGTCTTCAAGACCTGATTTTGGGGAACTCAATAATGACTACTACAATGTTTCTCAGTCTCTTCGTAGTAGCTGTCTTTATCTTTATGTATGCTGAAATTGAACATAAGAAACTAGACTAATATCACTCTGAACAGTAGATGATAGTATTGCTAGATTTTATATCATAATGTTACAGAATTAGCATTGGGTTTCTTAGTGTCTCTTCTTCTTCAGAGTATCTGTTCATTACATTGTGTATTATATAATCTGTTCCGTAAATAGTTTAGAAATTCTTCCCATGTGTGAATCTCTACATGTATATCTATCTTTTCTGTATTACAGGGAAAACAGATCAAAACAAGACAACAAAATAAAATTCCTAGAAAAACATGAAATGAAAAAGACATATAGGACCACAATATTACATGACCTACTGTAGTTACTATTTTTTCTCTTGTTATTTTCAATAGAATTGTCCACATCATCAGGCATAATATAATTGAACATAACATTACATAGCTATTTTAATAAAAACACAACTTTGAAGACATTGTAGGACTTGAAAGCAGTCAATAATCAAAACCGGAATGGATATCTTTTACATCTTGTCATCTTCAGAGTAGTTGCCTCTACTCTTAGACTTGATACTATCAAGCTTACCAAATTCAAATAAAATCAGCCAAGGCAAAACTGTGATCTAACAAACCAGCTTCAAATAAGATCAGTCATATTAAGACAATGTAAGTAATACAGGGTTTCAATGTAAGTTAATAGGAAATTAAAGATAGTTACTGTGGTATAAACTGCTATTTTTGGGTTAGCAGTCTGTGCCCTCAAATCTAATATGAGTAGACAGATCAGAACAAAATATAATCAAACTAAACAGAGCGAAAGACTACTGTGACTTTTAAATCTTGTACACTATTAACAATGTCCTCTGCCTTCCTTTTTTAGACAGTTCCTCCCTTTGCCCTTTATCAGGGTGCTTTGTATGTTTTGGGTCCCTCTAGCTCTTTTAGTTTTTAAATTAGGGGGCCAACCTGTTATCTACTGAGAGTTGCTAAACCTTTTTACCCCTGAGCGTGCTCTTGAGCTGTACTCCTTTACTTACTAAAGCCACAAGGTTTTCCTTCCTTCCAGCTGTATAGTTCTGCCCAAAAGTGTCATAGCTTTCCAATCTATCTGTGGCTGCTGGACGAGTTGTCCCTATTTCTCTCTGGTTTCCTGTCACATATAGCGTTGTTTTCTCATCTTTAACTCTCAGTTTATTAACTCTCTTTCAGATTGAGTCTATTTACTATTCAGAGCATCTCGATGGATCCTGCCTCCTAATCTACTCTGCCTGTGTTTCTTTTTTGTTTGTATCAGGGCTATCTATATTAAAGATTATAGCTTACCGTCTCTGCCTCATTTCTGCTATTTTATTCTTCTGCTATTATTTACCAATTTACTCCTTCATTCCACTGTCTACCCCATTCATTGAGGCCTCTCTATCACTGTTGCTGGAATCCTGGTATTTGTTCCTCTCTCTCTCTCTAGAATACTCTTCAGTATTTTTTGTAAGGTTGGGTTGGTGGCCATGAACTCTCACAGTTCCTCCTTGTCTTGGAAATATCTTGTTTCTCCATTAATTTTGAGAGAGAATTTTTCCGGGTACATCAGTCTTGGTTGGAAGTTATTTTCTTTCAGGGCGTGGACTATTTCCCCCCAGGCTCTGCTGGATTTGAGAGTTTGTGTTGATAAGTCTGTCATTATTTTGATAATTTTTCCATTGTAGGTAATCTGCTTCTTTTCTCTGGCTGCTTTTAATATTCTTTTCTTGTGGTGGATTTCTGGAATCTTGATTATTATATGTCTGGGTGTAGATCTGTTTTGGTTGTAGGTAGCTGGAGTTCTGTATGCTTCATTTATCTGGATATCTTTTCTTTTTCCTATGCTTGGGAAGTTTAATTATATCTGTGAATAGTCTTTGTAGTTCATTTGTGGTTACTTCTGCTTCTTCGCTCATGTTTTTTATTTTTAAATTATAAATCCTCTTGTCATCTTTTAGTCTTTGAATTGTTTCTTCCTGGCTTCTTGTTATTTTTGAGAGATCTTTTCTTTCATGATCACACACCATAAATCTCTCTTCAAGTTTCAAAAGTCTAACTTTAGTTTCTGTCAAGGCATTTTGCCAGCTTTCAATGGAGTTTTTAGTTTCCTGGTAATCTCTTTGGATCTGTTTCATGTATTTTAGATTTTGTTTATATTCTTCACAAAAGGTTTCACTTCCTTTTCTGAGTTCCTCTGTTCTTCTGTATTCTCTTGGGAGGGGCTTATCATTTTTTTTAATTACTCTTTTTAAGTCTTGCCTCACTTGGATCAGAAGTACAGTTTTAAATTCATCTTTGAGGTTACAAAGGTATTTTTCTATGTCCGCTGATGCTGTGTCTAATATTGTGTGATTACTGCACTGGTTCTCTTCTGTATTTACTTGTCCTGGGCTTATTTTTCCAGGGTTAGCGGCTGGAGCTTTTTTTTTTTTTTTTTTTTTTTTTTCTATCTCATCATGTTTCTGGTTTCTTTCAGACAGGTAGGTGGTGGGGTGGTCCCTGGCCCTCTCCATATTGCTTAGGGTCTTTCTGAAGCGTGCTGACTGGGGTTTTGCTGCCCTACCCAATTTGCTGTTATCTGAAGTATCTTAAACTCCCTCCCAGGGGCTCGGAATGGTGCGGGGACACTCACCCCAGGCTGTCCAGTCCACAGTTCAGGGCGTAGGCAGGCAGGCTCAATTCCTCGAAGCTGGTCGAGCACGGCAGGAAACCAGGAAGTTCTGGTTCTATATTTTTGAGTATTGTCTAACGAGGTGTTTTCAGAAGCAGATTCTACTGGGCTCTGTTCATGGCAGCGGCTCTGTGGGGCTCCGGCCACGTGGGCCTAGTGGCGGCAAAGATACACTCGCCCACCCGGTGACCTCAGGGGTGCTCCAGCCACGGGGACCCACTCAGCACTGGTGCTACAGGCTCGGGTCCCCACTCAGAGGTGAGGGTGAAGCGGGCAATGCTCCCAGCAGGTCCGGTGCGCCTGTGATGCTGCAACGCACCCTCCTCCTCTCACCATATTTTTAAAAATCACACAGAAGAGAACTTGCAGAGCTGTTTCAGAAAATGCCAAGAGTGATGGGAGAAGTGTTCCAGACAGAGAGCTTTTGGAGGGGGATTCATGGCAATGTGTCTTTTACTGTAACAAAAAATTTTTAAAATACACATTCACCACATTTTCCCCTCACCCCTTGCAGTGTCTCCTTTCTAACTTGGCTCTTCTCACTCACAGAGGCACAGGAAGGATCTAGGCCTGTCACTGTCTTGTCCAGGGCCTCCCACGATGGGCTCTTAGAAACAGGTAGGTGGTGGTGCCTGCACACTGCTCAGCTACTCCTGTTGTTCTGATGCCCATCTTACCTTTTCCTTCTCAACAGTGAAAAATTTGAAGATAGTATTATGGTCTCCTCCAGAAATTTACCTGCAGGACACTGAGTTTTCAGAAACAAATGAGGTTAAAAAAAAGAAAGAAGAAAGAAACAAGTAAGGTATATTTCAAACTGCAGCGGTCAGTCAGTGTTTGCCACTGAAACTTCTGGCTGGAGCTGGCTGGCTGCAATTCTTCTGTTGCCTTCCGTTATGCACCCTTGTGTGAGTTCACAAGGTCAGGGGGTTCCCATGAATACCACCTTTTGCAGCACTATCAATGCTTTGAAATGGTACAAGACCTTAAACATCTGGTTAATGGACACACAGCATGTGGACACTAGGCAGTGTGGTCCCTTAAGAGAAACCTATTTGTTTCCCTTTCTGTAGTTTTTATGGCCAATTAGGGGGAAGAGGAGGCTTTTGGGGGCTGGGCCAAAGTTCTTCACTGTTTGGGGTCTAACTGCCTACTAGGTGTATAAACTATAATCTATATGGCATAAAATACGTGAGGTGTTCAAGACTGGGGCTTGGGGGGCTTCAAAAGGAAAAGGGCAGAGAAAAGAAATCACATAGTAGGGGTTACAAATGCCTTCACACTAGAATCTAATCCTTTCCATATCCCAAATGTCCTGGGCCAAGTGCCGCCCACTAACTGGACACAGACAACAAGTGTGAGTGAGTAGTGAATCGATGCGATTCTGTTTTGGCATCGTTTGGTACTTTCAGCATTAGACTTGCTGAAACTTTAACTTTCCACTCATACCAGTTCTTAAGCCAAATAATACACTTTCATGGGTTTCAGATCATATCACTTATTTTAAAGTCTATGAGAAGTTGAGAAAAATGCCTCTATGTTTATTAAGTTCAATCCTTAGCAAAGTGAGAAAGAAATAAAAGATGTTCACGAAACTTCTATGGCTTCATCTGGCTTCTTCAATATAATCGTATTTTGGGCTCCTTTACATGTTTTCTTCTAACTCTTCTCTATCCGTCCACTTAAAACTCTAAAGCTTGGGGTTAAGGAACACAATTTCTTAGTCTATAAGGACAACAAAAACTGCACTACAACATAAAAAGCTGATTTTCATGTAGAAATATGTTTAGTCAGTGGTCACTGCTGTTAGTGCACACTTCTCAGGTTGTGCTCTCCTTTTGAATTTCGGTAATGGTTCTAATTCTCCCCCTCCAAGGAAGGATTAATTCAGAGAACAGAAATGTAAAATTAATGTGCTTATTGGCATCTACTTTAAGTGATCAGGTCAGGATTACTAAATCAAGGGATGTTTGGATTATATCTTGATTACATGTATCTTTTATAAGCCCTTGTTTTACTATGTAAATTAAGAGTGGTTATATAATTTATGTAAGTATGTAGTAATTTTGCTGTTGATATATGTTCAAACATATCTAAAATACTAATAATCTCTTTTTAGAATTTAAGTTACAATAATCCCCTTGCAGTGGTAAATCCAGGATGTGTTTAAAGGCAAGTTGAAAAAGTTTTATGCCCTAACAAAATTCAAAGTTAGCATACAAGTTATAGCTTTCTTCTATCTTTTTTTGACTATAAATTTTAAGTCACCACGCTGTTTCTGAAATAGTGATTTACGTATGTTTTATTTAAGTGAAAATGATTTCTTTGCTCTGAGTTTTTCTTTTCTTTTTAGCAGCTGGACACCCTGAGGTTCAAGGTAAATTTGTTTTTAATCACAGAAAATTTATATTATATATGAAAAACAAAGTGTTTCAGTTTTTATGACATATGCACAGCAATGTGGTGCAGTGTTTTATTTTCCTTAATCAAGGAGAACAATGTGGTGCAGTGTTTTATTTTCCTTAATCAAGGAGAACAATTCCTTGCACATAGCTAAATACCTCCCTCTTTGATTTCTTATAAAAACCAAAGCAGCTCCTGAGAATTTGCCACCAGTGGAAATACTATGTTTTCTTATTTACTTGCACCATCAAGGTCCCCAAATCTCTAGCAGTTTGCAGCCACCCTTTGTTAGTTATTCATAAAAAGCAAGTCAAGTTCCCAGCCCATGCCCTGCTCAAAGTTCACGGTCCTTGTCAGAACTTGGGCTTCCTGGAGAACTAAGTAGCTCGAGACCACACCTTGCCCTAAATGTCAAGTCTCAATTCATTTCTTGTATTTCCTCTCATTTTCCATTTTGCTGCCTGAAGCAACCATCCCTTCTAACCCCTATTTATTCTTCTCCTTCCTTCCTTCTCTCCCCTGCTCCTTCCTCCTTTCCTCCAGTTTGACCTCAGCAGTGAAGGGATGAGTCACAGATACTGCTTGGATCATGTTCCTTCACCACCCATCCCTTGCTCACCTCTCCTGTTCCTCCATCAGCTTCCTCCTGCCTCCCACACAGGCTCCTTCGCATGACCCAAAGGCCCCCTTCTCCAGGGTGTACTGGTATTGGGTGAGCACACATTTTTTTATTCATATAGCATTGAGCTCAATTCCTGATATAAAAACAAAAAGAAGAAGAAAAGAAAAAAATGTCTTTCCAAGTGGTCGTGTGTTCACCCACTCTGGGGCTCCTAACCACTGTATAAAATACTCCACTATGTCTGTCTTTTATAACTCATCCTCCTGGCTTTCTCAGCAATGAACACAGCCCACCGTGGCACTGGGATGAATACCCTCGCCCTCAGATGTGTGAGGCGACCTCTTTGACACATCTGGCTGGGCAACAGACAACCTAGCTTTCAGGGTCTGTCCCCTGATCGGTTACTAGCACTCGGATGTTCTTTGGCAGTGCTGTTAGGTACCAGGCTTCCTTCCCACCAGTATGCCTGGGTGTCTCCCAACCTCGCAGCGCCTAGCAACCCACGGCTTCCTAATTTTGCTCAGCTCCAGCATCCAGGCCATGCTATCGCTCACTAACTTGCTTTTCGTAATAACCAATGATTTGAGTTACAGACTTTATATCCTCATTAGCTTTTCTTGTCTCCTCCTCTTTGTCTGTCCACTCACTAGTTCAGATCTCTCCCACCAGTTCATGTTCTTTACTTCAGATTTCTTTCAGGGCAGGCTTCTTTCTTATTGTCTTGCGGATATGAATGTGTGATCAGTTCTAGACATTCCAAGCACTGCCTTTCATTTTGTCCCCGTCTGCCTGTTTATCAGCAGTGAGGTGGTCGTGATGGCACAGAGCTCCTCAATTTTTGTACACTCAGGACAGCAGCCATGTTCCCCATGCCAGTGCTCCTGAAAATCCCTGCGTGCTCCAGCCCAGCGCCTCCCAGCGGCACGAGGCTCCCCAGCCTCCCTTTCAGTTCCTCACTCAGGACAGAGCTGCCGTGCCTTGTGGCTCCTCCTGTCCCCCTGTCCAGAGAGCAGCCAAAGGGAGCGAAAGGACACACCTGTGTGTCCCAGGGAGAACTCAGAAATGCAGGAGCACAACCTGAGATTGCCGCACCATGATGTTGCCTTCTGGGTTCTGCGGTCCCCAGCCAGGTCCTTGGGCACAGCTGGGCAGCACGAATGGCAGGAATGGGCCTTCCGGTCCCCAGGTCTGAGGAATCATGACCCTGTCTAGGTGATGTTTTAGGGGCTCCGAGGAAGGGAAGGACACTTTGTTCTGGCCTCAGCTTCTTCATCCCAGATGCCTAACATCAGAGCCAGCGAGACACGGTGCATGTGACCCAGAGAGGCCGCAGCTCGCCCACTGTACAAGGCGCCAGGGTCAGTGTCAGGGAGCCGGGGAGCACAGCTGACAGAGAAGCTCCCCTCCTGTGACTCTCGTGTGTAGATGGCTCTGAGCACCTGGTCCACTGCACCGCAATTTTGCCGCTCACTTTGGATCAGCAAGAACATCTATACACCTATCTTGAGCATTTCCAATTACCCAGTTATGGAAATGAAATCAATGACGTGTTTCAAGAGTTTTACAGGCCTTTTAAAAGGAAGGACAGCCTGGGTGTGCCTGGAGCATGCCTGTAATCCCAGCACTCTGGAAGGCTGAGGCCAGAAGCGCTCACATTCCAACCCAGCTTAGACAAATTAGCAATTTAAGGAGACCATGTTTAAAGTGAAAAATAAGAAATGGTGAGGATATAACAGTGTGAGCGCCTTGGGTTCGATTCCAAGCACTTCAAAAGAAAAGAAAGGACACAATTTGAAGATAAAATTACTATCAATCTGTTTTTAATGATTTAATTATCTTTAGAAACAAAACTTTAAATATCAGAACTTTCTATTTTATCACAGAAGAAACAGAAATTTTGACTGAAGATATGGATACGGGTAAGTTTATCTTATAAAGTTTTACTGGTGATTCATTAAGTTGGCATTTTAGTGTCATATATAAATATATCTAATTTATTCAAACAATGGATAATTTTGATGTAAATTTAAATTGAGAAATGTAAGTGTTCTGCTTTTCTTATCACTTTTAAGAAAAACAAGCATGAGTGATTCTTGAGAACTACTTTTAAAACTGAGTTAAATTTATATGACCAATTTTGAAGTGAAAAAAAAATCTCTAGTCCTACATAAAGTTTTTCTATTTAATATTAACTTTATCAGGTCAGGTTTATCAATAAACAACCAGGTTTCAAAAATGACTTATGGCAGACTTTCTAAATTAAAAATACAATAGATAGTAATGCAATTCACTTATTCAAACAGGCATCCTGTTTGATGATCTGTATCCTAGCCAGGTGTGCCCTATAAGAAAATATAAAGTATTAAGTTTGTAGGAAGACAGTAATTTATCAGAGGGTTTGGGCCACACAGACTGTGCTGTCTTCATACAATTAGTAATAAAATTAGTAATAAAATAAATTAGTAATTAGTAATAAAATAAAGCCCTATTTTAGGAAGTACTTCAAATGAATTTCAGGAAAGAATCCCTTGTAATTGCCAGGCCCCAAAATTAATTAACAATTTTTTTAATCAAACAGTGAGTGCAAGATTTAGCTCTCAAAGCTGTAGGTATCAATCCAAAGGAATTTTCAACAAAAGCCTTGTATTTTTTATGCCACTTTGATTTTTAGATACTGTGCAGCCTGGCCTGGAAGCCCTCAGCGGATGAGGCCTCCCTCCTTTCAAAGATCCAGGCAAAGACTTAAGACGTCATCAGTTTTTCCCCCAGATGACTGAGAGTAGTAAGGTTTCCTGTGACTTGGGACTAAGCCACAGGCTTACAGACCTGATTGTAGCATTGGAAGCAGAATAAAAGGGGCATCTCGTGCTCTTATTTTCTCCTTGTGCCACAAATTCTCACGCAAGTCCCTGTCGCGAGCCTTGCTGTCCCCGACTTCTTGGTCTGCCCTCGGTCCCCATGCTCACAGACAGGAGGGGGCAGGTGCTACCGAAAAGCAGATGTGTCCTGCTGACCTGACTGCCCAGGGTTTTCTAGAATATCACCCTGGGTTTAATATGATAATTAAGTGAGATAAACAGAGATGGGAGGATGGAAGGTAGGTATGGAAGCTGATACACACGAAGTACTCAATACCAACACCTTAGTGTTCACATTGGCATCACTGAAAAGCATTTCACATAAACTGCCAGACAGTAAAACCTACGAGCATGAGAAAGATGCTGTCCTTCCTCTCATCAGGAAGCATACTCTGAGGACTTCATAATATGACTCTGCCCGAGCTGTCACCTTAAAGGTCCTTGGACTGTGACACTGTCATCACTCATTTCCAAAAGGTGGCTCCATGCTCAACCCCTCGGCCAACTTAAGTCTGCCCCAAGTCCGCACTTAGGAAGAACTTCAGAGAATCAAGCCGGTGTTAACATTAGGCCCGAATTTTTAAGCAAAGTAAATAGTAGAGTTTAGGATCTAAAAAAATTTACTAATGATCCTGTGCTGTTTGGTATTAGCTATGACTCTGCTGCTTGTGTGGCAAAGATAATTAAGATATGTCTGTCCCCAAGGTGATAGTTCCAGATGATAATGTTAGAATCCCTTCTTTTCTTGAAGAAAGAAAACGGATAAAGTCATTATTACCTAAACTATTCTGTGGCGTCAGAAGACCTGAGCACTCTCGGAGGAAGCGGATTGTGGGGGGGAAGCCCGCACACATGGTAAGCTTGGGTACAGAGCCCCAAGGCTCTCTTCCAGGGGAAAGTCCAAGTTGGAAAAACGTCAGGGGTGAGGGGCCATGTGAGTGGGACTCTCCGAGGGCCACAGTGGATGCCTCTGTGATTGGCAGTGACCGCACGAATGTTTTTCCCAGGGAGACTTCCCGTGGCAGGTGGCAATCATAGAAGAGGGCAAAATCAGCTGCGGGGGAATTTACATCGGTGGCTGCTGGGTGCTGACAGCTGCACACTGTGTCAGGTAAAAGTGTTTATGGTACATCCGAAATGTCTTGAAACAATGAGAAGGAGGAATAGAGATGTGGCAGTCAGCTGGGGCACAGCTGAGAAACGCTAAGTTGCACTCTAATAAATGGGAAACACCTTCTAGCATTTTTGGCCAGGACCCCAGAATCCAAGCCCCAGAACCTCCTGAGCTCCGTGAAAGCAGGAATGGTTTCTAAATTTGCTCTTTTCTGTATCCCTGTGTTTAGCACACAGCCTACTATATAGTGGTGCACACAAGGACTTCTCGAGTACATTAGATGAATGAGCAGAATTAACCTTTAAACAATATTCAGACCTCTGTCATATAATTCAATTAAAGTCAATATGGAATACAGCATTCTTGGAACACTGAGTGTAAATAAAAGCATCCAAATACTACAGTATCTCTGAGGACATCAGTGTTTATCTTGTTTAGTTTCTGATGCTTGAGAAAGCAGGAGATAGATGGATAACACATTTTTAAAAGAGTTGCATTAAATTGTTAAGTTTTGCTGCTTATGGAAAATCCATCTTACAAAATACTTGGAATCGCTGGACTGGGGGTGCCGAACCTGTGGCACGGGTGTGCGGCAGGCTGTTGTACCATAGAGAACCCTGAAAGGTTCACCAGCATCGCATGACTAGACTGTGAGCCCATTATTTAACACCTTCACAATGAAACAAAACAAACTGGAAACAAAACTAAGCCACAGTACTTCGTCAAAGTGACACTGTATTACTGTTCCTTAATAAATAATGGTAGATAGCCAATTTGCTCAACCTGTGATTTAAAAATTGGTATGAAAATGGAGTGAGGCATGAGAAAAACAATTATGTCCTCACTGCTTCAGCAGGATATGAAAACATCTACTGTGTCCTGGGCACAGTACTAGGCACCAGGACTATGTGGATTGGTGACACCTGGGTTAGTATTCTGTTGCTGGTACAAAATACTCAACAGCTACAATTTAAAGGAAAGATTTCTTTGACTCACAGTTTCCAGCAGGTTCAGTCCATGATCAACTGGCTCCAAGGCCAATCAAGCATGGTGGGAGGCCCTGGCAGAGGACAGTTGTTCACAATGTGGCAGCCAGGAAGCAGGGAGAGAAGAGGGGAGCCAAGGACGCACTTTCCAGGTCACATCCTGGATGGTTCCACCTCTACCCAGCGTGCACCAATTAGCAGCACCGTTAGCCATGAACTCATCCATGGATGAATCCCGTGAATATGGCACCCTCATGATCCAATCACCTTCCAAACATGGGTCACTTGGGAGATGTTTTAGAGCTAAAGCATAACAGACCCAAACCTGATTTCCAGCAGCACAGTCTAGCAGAAGGAATGGCCTGTGGGGTGCTATCAGTCTCAAGGGGCAGGCTGGAAACTGCTGTTATACCCTCACCTTGGGAACCTCAGGAGTCGGTAGAGGCATGAAATTCTCCAGCTCCTCAACCACATCTTTGATAGGGTGCTGTCTGGCTGCCGTTTGAACAGAGACAGCAACAGGGCATTGACTCCAGTAGCAGCAAGGACATGCCACTCTGAGAATCTCTGGTTGTCAGTGAATTCTTATCTTCCTGGTATTGAGCAGTTAGAAGGATTATTCTTGTCTTCATTTACCGTTGACTTATTTCTTCCATAGTAAATTTAATCTCACTGCTCCATGATAGCAAGGACTAAAAAATCAAATCTGGGAATGTACAGACATCTTTTAAAGGGGAACATGTAAAGAGTCAGAATTTCATATTTATGCTTTCTCTCTATTACTCTTTCCCTTTCTGTTACAGAAGTAGTAGAGCTCACCGTTACCAAATATGGTCATCACTCATAGACAGGATAAGACTGAACTCTGAAGCACTCATTCACCAGGTGGAAAGAGTTATCATCCATGACAAATACAACGGAACCACCTACCAAAATGACATTGCTTTGATTGAATTGAAAAAACATTTGAGCCAGAAACAATGCAAGCTCTCTAGCTCCATCCCTGCCTGTGTCCCCTGGTCTCCATATCTATTCCAACCTAAGGACCGTTGCATCATTTCTGGCTGGGGTCGAGAAAAAGGTATGTTTTATGGTTTGTTAGCATCCAGGGATTGGAAATGAATGGGAACAGAAATGCATGGGAACTTATTAGCTAGTACTGAGACAAGGCATTTGTGTGTCACTTGTGTGCCTGCCCAGCACTCCATGCACAGAAGGGCCCCAAGTGTGTTTGCTGTTACTATCCAGAAATTCTAAATCATTTCTGAAGAGGTCCCAGCCCCTACATTTTGATGTCTCACAGGTCTAGCTAATTACATATGCAGCCCTTCTCCAGACTTTCAAAGGACACATGTACTCTGTGATCCCGAAGTTAGCACTGAAGGGTAAACACTTGCCAAGAACAAAATACACAGACGGGAAGACACACAAGACAGTTTTGGGTCTGTCAGTGGGATGTGGATAGGAGATTAAAGCGTAGGAAAGCTGGAATGGAACAGTGGTCACTGAGCCTGGGAAAGGAAGGGGGAATGGAAAGAAGCTGTGGAGGCATTACTCCTGCGTCTCCGTTAGTGCAGCAGAGTGACGACAGGTCAGATTGCTCTATGAGGTATTTCAAGATTTCTAGAAGAGCTCCAGATTCCCAACACATAAAACGATTAATGTTTGAAGAGGTGGACATGCTTATTACACTGATTTGATTATTGCACATCCATACATGTGTCAAAAATAGAATGTATCCCTAAGGATAGATAAACATTTTGTTTCAATAAAGAAATTAGCCCCTAGACAAAGGGGACACGACTTGCTAAGGGGTAAAGTCGATATGCACCAAATCCCTACAATCCCTTCCCCTCCCCATGCCCCCTGCCCCACACTGCAGTGAGAAGGGAAGCACAGCAAGCCACCCTCTGAGCTCTCTGTAAGAGATGGAGATCCTAGAAACACATGGTTAGAAAGACCTGCAGAATTAGAGCTGCATTAGAATTAAACTAGTTAAACCTTCTCCCTTCATTTTGACATTTAAGTTCGTTTGACCTCTTAAATTCTATTAGCAGAAACCCTAAGTAACTTCATGGCTTTGATTTTGCAGACTTAATTTCCCACACGTTCCTTCTGATGACCACATTGATAATTGTAGTATATATGTATTAATTTGTGGATGTGTGGTGAGTTTGAATACCCACGATACATAAAATACTAAATTAGGAGGAATTCATTCATCCAGAAAATATTATGTCCTTGTATTTGTTCTTTTTTTAAATAATGCACTTTATTTCTACAAATGTAGACATAAAAATATAAATCTTTATTTATGATCTAGTTTGCACCACTGGCCACATTCTGCCATTCTTTTGTTTCAATTTTATTGGTACAGTTTAGATATACATAATGATCACATTGTCACAGGGAATTTGTATCTGTACATAATCTATCTTGATTTCTTTGTTTTCCCCATTCCTTTCCTCTCCCTTCAATCCCTCCTCTGCTCCTTATTTACAAAGCTTTGTTTCCATTTTATCCTTCTTTTCTGATTTTTTCTTTTACTTTCCTTCCTTCCCCTCTTCCTTAGTTCCCCTTTCCTTTGAACAATTTCTTCCTATTTTACAATATTTACTATACATTTTGGTTCTTATTTATACTTTGTTTCTCACACCAAAGAGACAATGTAATATGTACACACGTATGTCTGTTATATTTCACTTAAGAGTATGATCTCAAGGTCTACCTATATAGCTATGTCCTAAGTTTATCTTTCTTTATGGCTAGGCTGCACTCCATTTTATAAGGAAAAAAACCCACATCATTTTTATCCACTCATCTGTTGATAGGCATTTGGGTTGCTTCCAAGATTTGGCTGTTACAAGCTGTGGCACTGTAAACATGGGTGTGCATATGTTCCTGTGATGCCTGTAATTCTTTTGAGAAGGTACCAAGAAGGGGAATGACTGGGTCAAAGGGAACCTCTAGTGCTAGTTGTTTTAGGACTCTCCACACTGATGTCCACAGTGGTTGCACCAGTCTACACTCACACCAACGGTGGAAAAGGGTTCCTTTTTCCCCACAGCACCACCAGCATTTAATGATTGATTTTTTGAAACTAGTCATTCTTTCTGAGTTGAAATTTCAGCATTGTTTTAATTTGCATCTCTCTCGTCACCAGTGATGTTGAACATTTTTTCATATATTTATTTGGCATTTCTATTTCTTCATGTGAGAAGTATGTATTAAACTCAGACGCCTATTTTTGCATTGGGTCTATAAATTTGGGGGCCTGATTTTTTTCAATTCTTTGTATGTTCCAGATATTTGCCCTCTGTCTGAGGAACAATGGGCTAGGATTTTTTTCCATGATGTGGATTGTCTTTTTACTCTGTTGATTTCTTTAGCTGTGCAAAAAGCTTTTCAATAAAGTGAGGATGCAGTTGTTGATTCTTTATAGTATTTCCCATGTAAATGGGTTTTGTTCGTGAAGTCTTTGCCTATCTCTATGTCTTTAAGAGTTCTATCTATTTTCTCTTCCAGCAGATTTAGTGTTTCTGTTTTAATATTTAGATCTTGGTCCATTTTGATTTTAGTTTAATGCATGTAGTACACAAGATCTAGTTTTAGTTTTCAGCATGCAGAAATTGTTTTTCCAGCCCATTTATTAAAAAGGCTGTCTTTCTTCCACTGAAAATATTGGGCCCCTTTGTCAAAGATTAGGTGGCTCAGTGTGTTAGGAGTTGTTTCTGCACTTCTAATTTGTTCCACTGAGCCTGAAGTCTGTTTTTTCCCAATACCGTACTGATTTTATCACAGCAGCTTTGTAGTATAATTTCAAGTCAGGGGTTGTGATGCCCCCTGACTTGCCTTTATTTCCAGGATTGCTTTCATTATTCTACATCTCTTCTGACTCCAGATGAATTTTAGGATTGTTTTACCTATTTGTGTAAGGTATGCTAATGGTATTTTGATTGAGATTGCATTAAATCTGTGTAACAATTTTGGGAGTATGGCCCTTTTCACAGTGTTGGTTCTTCCTACCAACAACAAGGGATCTCTTCTTTAATCTTCTTTTTTTGAGTAACATAGTTTATAATGTAGAGAACTTTTATGTTGTTTATTAAGTATTTTAAGTTTTTTTGGATGCTATTGTGAAAAGTGTTGTTTCCCTAATTTTTGTCTGTGAGTTTGACATTTGTGTACAGGAATGCTATTGATTTTTGAGTGTTGACTTTGTATCCAGCTACACTACTGATAAAATGGGATCTTCTGTGTAGAGTGCCATGCCACCCACAACAATGATAATTTAACTTCTTCTTTTCCTAGCTTTATTCCTTTTCTTTCTTTTCTTGTCTAATTGCTCTGGCTGTTTCTAGAGCTATACTGAAGAAATGTGGTGACCGTGGAAAACCTTGTCTTGTTCCTGATTGTAAAGTGAAGGCTTTCAGTTTCTGACTGTTTAGTATGATGTTGGTTTATGGTCATAGATAGCTTTTATCATATTGAGATAAAGACCATCTATTTCAATTTTCTGTAGGGTTTTTATTATGAATGGATGTTGGACTTTGTCAAATGTTTTTCCTGAGTCTATTAAGATGATCATGCAATTTTTGTCCTTGGCTCTATTAATATGGTGTATAACATTTATTGATTTGCATCTGTTGACCCATCACTGCAACCCTGGGGTGAATCCTACTTGGTCATGCTGTATAATCTTCTTGATGATTGGCTGTATTCTGTTTGCTAGCATTTTACTGAGAATTTTTGCATCTACGTTCATTAGGAAGATTGGCCTGTAGTTCTCTTTTTTGTTTGAGTGCTTCTCTGGCTTTGGTATCAGGATAATGCTTACTTTCAGGAACGATTTTGGGAGTGTTGCTGACTTTCAATTTCATTAGAGTTTGAAGAGTAGTGGCATTAGGTCTCTAAATTTCTTGTAGAATTCAGTTGTGAATCCACCAGGACTTAGACTTTTCCTTGTTGGTAGGTTTTTAATCACATCTTAAATTTCATTGGCTGATACTGGTTTAAGATTTTTATATCTTTATTCTAATTTGGTAATTTATATGTATCTAGGAATCTATCCATTTCTTCTGTGTTTTGCATCTTATTAGAGAAAAGATTCTTGAAGTAAGTATAGATGATGTTCTGGATTTCTTCAGGGTCGATTTTTCTTTTTTCTTTCTTTTTCTTTTGTCCTTTTGAGACATGTCTTGCTATGCATTTCAGGCCTTTAGCTCACTTTGTAGCCCAGGTTGGTCTCAAACTTGTAACAGTCCTGCCTCAGCCTCCTGAGTGCAGGGGTTATAGGCCTGTGCCATCATACCCGTACCCACCCAACCTTCACTTTACCTCAACTGTAATTTCATCCTTTTAATTTTATTCACATGAATTTGAGTCTTTTTGTTCCTTTTTTGATAAGCTTAAAGATTTATCAATTTTACTTAATCTTTCAAAGAACCAACTCTTTGATTCATTGATTTTTTTGTATTGGTTTTTTATTCTCAATTGCATTAATTTCTGCTCTGATTTTCGTAATTCCTTCCCTTGTATGAGCTTTGGGCTTGACTTGTTCTTCTTTTACTAGATGTTTAAAGTTCAAATTTAGGGGGTTCTTTTGTTTGTATGTTTGTTTGTTTTTTGGTACCAGGAATCTAACTCATGACCTTGCACTCAAAATTAGGTTATTAATTTGAGCTCATTCTGTTTCCTTGACATGAGAATTCATCACTATAAGTTTCCCCTATAGGACTGCTTTCATTGTGTCACAAAATTCTGGTATGTTGTATAGGTATTATCAATTAATTGTAGATACTGTTTAATTTCACCTGTGACCCATTCATTGTTCAAGGCAGTGTTAATTTCCATATGCTAATGGAACTGTTGTAGTTTCTTTTGCCATTGGTTTCCAATTTCATTGCACTATGATCTGGTAATGTACATAGGGTAATTTCAATTCCTACTTTTTCACTGACATCTATTGCTCTTACATTGTTTCTCTTTGTGTCATCTTACAGCCATTGAATTGTTTCCTGATTCTTTGCTATTTTTTTCTTGTTATTTTTAAGAGATTTTTCCATTATGCCAGAAATTTCAGGTGTGCAACTTCCAATTTATTCAATGTCTATGTTTCCTGGACTTGTTCTGTGTGGGATGGAAGACAGAGATTGTGTTTTTCTCTTTCAACTTGACATTTTCCTGGTTTTCTGTGGACAAGGCAGCTGTGGGGCCCCAGGTCCTTCCTACACTGGCTATGCATCCATAGTGTAGGGGGTGGGCCAGACACCTGAGTTTCTCCTAACCTAGGTTCTCCCAGGGAGAACCAGGAGGCTGGTTGGGATAGGCATGGGATAGGCTTCTCCAGACATGCATGGATTCTCTGAGATGTGACTGGCTGGATTCTCCTGGCCTACACTGGCTACAGCAGGTCCCCAGTGGTGACCACAGGGCTCACAGGGGGAGGGTTGTCTGCTTCTTGTCCTGGATCACACTGGCTATTGGTAGGATTTTATCCCATTTATCTCCAGGTATCAGCTCTTTACTAAATTAATATGACTTCTGGCCATATGTTCACTAATCCCCCTGACTAGTCACCCAAGTTTAAAAAGATAACTATAGAAACTAGGGATCTGAGGACAGTATGAGTAAATGTACTACCGAATTGTTCTCAAAAATTTATTTATGGGCCAGGGATTTAGCTCACTGGCATAAACACCTTCCTGGCAAGCACGAGGTCATGAGTTCAATCATCAGTACCAAAAAAAAAAAAAGTTTATTATGTATATTCCCTTACATGCTATCTTAGTTACTTTTTACTGGTTGCTGAGACAAAATACCTGATGCCCAAAGTTAGGGAAGGAAAGGCTTATTCCTTACAGTTCTTGGAGGTTTCAGTCCATACTCAATGGGTTCCAAGACAGCATGGCACGGCAGGGCAGCCCTTTATGGTGGCTGCAAATAGCAAGGCGAGAACCAGCGAGAGAGAGAGAGAGAGAGAGAGAGAGAGAGAGAGAGAGAGAGATCTTCCCACCGTTACATCATATCCTGGCTCCACCCCTAGGCAGGTGTAGCACTCACACCCCTAATCTGAGCCCTAGACAATGAACCAACCACAAACGCATAATTGCATTAGGCTTGGGGGCCACTGACATAAACCATGACACATGCTTAATAGTTACTAAGTTACCAAAGTGTTTAGATTTCTCATTTGTGTCTTCTAAATATGTTTTCTCCCTTTGTTTAGAACACAAAAAAGTCTTTTCGCTTCAGTGGGGTGAAGTTAACCTGATAAGCAACTGTTCTGAGTTTTACCCAAATCGCTACTATGAGAAAGAAATGCTGTGTGCAGGTAAGTGCCACATGGGTTTTTGTTGTTGTTACTTTAATGAAATACTTGAGGCTGGGCCCTTATTACCGAAAAAAAAAAAAAAAAAAAGTTTATCTCACACGTGTGGAGATTTAAGCTCATGGCATTGACATCAGCCCACTTCCAGTGAGGGCTGCGTGGCAGGGGCACACCACAGATGTGAGAGCATGCCAGGAAATGAGTAGTCCATAAAAGGACAGGAAGCCAGAGGAAGTGTGTCTTAGTTTTTTCTTGATGTTGAGACAAAATACCTGACACCCAAAATTAGGGAAGGGAAGGTTTATTTCTTACAATTTTGGAAGTTTCAATTCCATACTCCCCTGGCTCCAAGACAGGGTGGCATGGTGGAGCCTCTGTTCATAGCCACTGCAAAACAGCAAGAGCAAACTACACAAAAAGAAAAGACACACCCTCTTCCTATCCTTACACTGTATGCTGGCTCTGCCCTAGGCAGGGGTAGCACTCACACCACCAATCCCAGTGCTAGACAATGCAACAATCACAAACGCTGGATTCAGCCATGGACTGCAGGAGAGTTGGGGGGACCATCGGAACACAAACCATAACAAAGGGAAAGGGCCAGCCTTCTTCCTTTTGTGAAAATTCTGATTTAATCCTGCTGGCCCAAGACCTTCCACTAGGGTCACCTCTTAAACTGATCACAGTGTGGCACTGGCCCTAGCACATGGACCCCAGGGGAGAACTCAGACCATTCCAACAGCGATTGAAAACTTTCATTAGAAGAGAAGAAAGTGCACTCCCATCTTGAAATGGAGCTTGGGACTGTAGTGTGCAAATGGATTGCATAACAGAAGATCTACCAGAAACCATGGTCATAGATAAGATAAACTCTGAGGTTTGTCTGCCGAAAGTTCAAGGTCAGGCTCTGCGCCCTTGGGCACATTAGCCAATCATTTTGTGCCTTGTTTCATATGTAAAATGGACAAAATAATGATACTTTATCTCATAGGATTGTGGTGAGGATTAAAACACTGTCAGCAAAGTACAAGAAAGCCAAATTTATTAAACCCATTGGGGGAGGAGTCAGGAAGATAAGGCAGTCTGACAAACAGAGGGAAATGTCTCACTTTCTCTTTCTCAGGCACAGATGATGGTTCCATTGATGCCTGTCAAGGGGACTCCGGGGGCCCCCTCACCTGTGTGAGCAGGAACAATGTGACTTATGTCTGGGGCATTGTGAGTTGGGGTGAAAACTGTGGAAAATCAGAATTCCCAGGAGTTTACACCAAAGTGGCCAATTATTTTGACTGGATTAGCTATCATGTGGGAAGGACTCTCATATCCCAGCACAATGTCTGAAACTGTGATCTTTCTACCACAAGTTTCACTTTAATTGATATGAAACTTTAAAATTCTCTGCTTTCGTTAGCAAAAAATGAAACCAAAGTGTTTGCTATACTGGAATTTTTCTGTGTAATTTGCAAATAAATATTTTGGTCAAGCATACAAGTTTGATTGCTTCTTACTTGGGGACTGAACCCAAGGCAGTGTGCATATTCAACACCACCAAGCTACACCCTTGGTCCCTACATGTTTTACTTATCAGAAAACTTGACTACATTATCTCTTCATGATGACTTATGGACTATATTGAAGGTTTAGCTAGTTCAATGACATCAGCATCATATGAAGCATGGGCTCAGACCCCAAACCCAGCACCTACCAAGGCTGAGCCTAGGCAGTTTATCTTCTTTACGACTGATTTTCTATCTATAACATGGAATGTGTAAAAATGATAATATGTACTTACATAAAACATTTAGCATCCCGCATGTCACAGGAGAATAACTGCAGGGAAAAGATAAGGCAAAGGTCTCACTGAGCTTTATTATGATCAGTAAAAAAATTATTAAAAGCAGTTTCTATTGGCACAGATAGTCTCTGCAGTTAGGGAAATTAGAGAGACGAAGAAAAGAAAAACTGGACAGAGAGGGCTACCAGGTAACACAATTACTGTTAGAATTTATCAAGAAGAATTAACACAGAGGAAGTCAGAAATGAAAGACCAGGAAATCCAGCTCCTCTTACCCACCTGACAAAATGCAACAGTGATACGAGCCACCTGAAGACTCTTATTTAATATGTAAGGCACACTCACATGCGTACACACACCTGCGCATATATACAATACACATATATACAATAAGAGCCACTGAGTACATACACCTATGCATATACACATATATACACACATATACAATACACATATACACATATATACAATAAGAGCCACTTAAGGACTCTTATTTAATATGTAAGGCACACTCACATGTGTACACACACCTATGCATATACACATATATACATGTTCTCATTTAGCATCAGTATAGTAACATCAGTGCATATAACCAGATACACACATGCACCTACATCCCCTTTACCTGATCATTAAGTGGGCCGCCTTCTTCATAGGCCCTCCCCCTTCACTCATTCATTACAAAGAGACAGGAAGAAACCAAATGGTCAGAGGAGATGTTTGCAGACAGCCTTGGAGTCAAGGACAGCCCAGGGAAGAGATCAGATATCAACAATCGCCCACCTGGAGAACGGGAGACAGGAGACGCCAGGGAAAGGTCCTGTGGGCTTTTGACTCAAAAGCCCTCTAACACCTCACAAAAGCTGTCCGTCCTCTCTCTTTTTCATCTTTTCCCCAAATAAACCACCTTTCATTATATAAACGTTGCCTTTTTTGAGTTTTACTGTTGCCAGGTAGGATCCCAGCAAGCTGCGTTCTCAGCAGGGCAGTGGGATGGCATCCATCACTACATGGAACACAACCTCACAGCTCTTGGCACATTTTTCTGCTTTCAAAATTAACATTTCTCAAAAAAAAAAAAAAAAAAAAAAAAAAAAAAAAAAAAAGAACCCTGTCTTTGCTCCCTCACATTTCACAGGTTCTCTTTTACCTTTTCTCTAAACCTCTCCATAGACAACACAACTAGGCTGAGCCTCAGGAGGTCAAACCGTTTCTGAAAGGACAGAGGTCTCCCTCTCACTTGACAGCTCCGTTCTTCATAGTCTGAACAAAGAATGAAGCAGGACACAGAGAAATCGTAAGACAGGCAGAGATCTAGTAAAAGAAAAGAACAGCATGAAGCAGGAGTGAGCTGATGACAAAACCCATTAACAGCACTGGCCAACCTGTTTTAGGTTTGAAGTTAAAGTGCACTTGCAAGTTCCAAGCTGGTGGCATCTGTCAGTAATGAAAGTCCCCCCTCTGGAATAGAGGGCAGGCAGAACCAAAGGCAGCAACTCCAGTGAGTTCTGTGGTTGATTTTTCTTTTGTTTTCCTAGAATTTGGGAAGTGGTTAAGGGTGGTGAAATTGAGTCTTCTCCCTCATGTCCAGAAGGAGGGGAAGTTTCTGATTTTCTATAGGCTCAGAAGAAAACAGCACAGCAATCAAAGCCCAACCACAGCGCTAATGATGTTGTAATGGGCATGCAGTTGCCCTTTCTTCCCCTTAACTGTAACTATAGTGCATGCTCCTGGCTTACAGGGGCAGGAGTGTAGCTTTTTGGCTTAAGTGAGGACATTAAGGAACACAGTGAGGGCACGGCCTTATGTTAGGTTGTCAGGGAAATGAGAGTCTCCAGGAGCTGGAAGGCATCCTTGAGTTGTGAACCCCAGTCTGGGATGTCTGCTGCACTGTCTCAGACTTCAAAAGCACAGTCACTTAGCTTCTGCCCCCAGTACTGACCTCTCTCCCTGGCCGATGATCTCAGATTTCTTTCCAGACTCTTCCTTCTGGCCTCTTTTTTCATTTTGTCCATCCCTACCATGGCAATGAAACAAAACGCTTCTCAACACTTGTATACCAACCTGGATCCTGTTAGAAAATTCTTAGAAACAATTGGGATAATGAGAAAACTAGGTATTTTTAGCTCTGGCCAAAGGAGTGGAGTCATTATTTAGGGATCCCGCGGAGTGCCTGGGAAAAATACGGGGATGTCACTGTAACTATCAAGTTACAAAATAACCTTGTGTAAGAAATTGGTGATTTCCTCAAGTTCTTGTTTTGTTTCATTTACTACATTCAAATACAGCCTAAATCTTCCTTACCAGAGTAGGAAACATCATTTTTTTCTTGTTCAAGGTCTAAACCAGCGTCTAGGTCGTTCTGATAATATTTGGGCACCACTATGGCCTTGGCTGACGTCATTTTCCATTTTCCCTGTCCCCCAACCGCGGCCACCTCGAGCCATGAGTGCCTCGCTAAGGACAGGAGGTGCCAAACACTCCCCAAGGTCAATCTGCACTCTCCCTGTCTCCACGTCCAGCAGAGCTCATCTATCCAGACAGAGCTGATCTGGGTCAGCCAGGCCTCGGTCTCCACTGCACCCGAGAGAGAGGTGATGGAAAACGTCGGCGAATGTTTAAATTTTTTAAATTAATCACAGTAAGACACACTGCCATGAGTCCCCATCAAAGTCCTCCCCTTAGCTTTGAACACACTTATTCCCTTGGTTCTTACCACTTTCTGCAGCAGCTCAGCAAATCCTTTCGAGTGTCTTTAGCTGCGCTGTCCTGGCTGCCTGGATGTCCTGGACTGGCTCAGTGTTCTCCTTTCCTGGCCACTGTGACTGAGAAAGTCCTGGAGTCGTGAGGCGCCAGACCAGGTGATCAAGTCGGATGAGAACTCAACGTCGTGTTTTCAGGAGCTGCCCTTCTGGTGAGTGGCAACAGCAGCAACATCTAGGGTATTTTCTTTAATCACACCTCACAAAGACACTCAGGGAAGAGGACTCAGAGAGCAGCGAGGTCACTGGGATGAGTTCTAGGCAAGGGGGAGGACTGAAAGGGAGTTCGTGGTGACGTGTCTTTTACTAGCCACTTAAAAACATCCTTACACCTCGCTCCCTCTGGAAGGCTTTTTTTAAAGCCCCGATGCCGACGTGCTCGCTGCACAGGGGACCCGCGCGAGCAGAGCGCGGGGCACCGCCGCAGCCCCAGCAGCTGCCAGGTGAACTCGGGCCTGCGCAACCGGCTGACCAACCGCGGCCCCGCCCTCCGCGTCGCGCTGGTGACGCAATGCCGCTGCGCAGGCGCACTGGGCGGCGGGCGGAGGCGAAGGCTGGGACATAGCTGGCCGCCGGGGGCGCCGGGGCTCGGACGGGGCGCGCGCGCATGGCCCGGCCTCCCTCGCCCGCTCTCCAGCCGCTGCCGCCGCTACTGCTCCTCCTTCTCCTCCTGGCCGGCGCAGTCGGGTGCGAGGAGGCGGCCGCGACCACTGACTGGAGGGCCACGCTGAAGACCATCCGCAACGGCGTGCACAAGATCGACACGTACCTGAACGCGGCGCTGGACCTGCTGGGCGGCGAGGACGGACTGTGCCAGTACCGGTGCCGCGACGGTGAGCCTGCCGGGCGGGAGCGGCGCGCTGCCTTTATTTATTTATTTATTTATTTATTTATTTATTTATTTATTGTTCACGAAAATGCAGAGTCGAGGTGGAGTTGCCAAGTCTTTTGTGGACTCGCGTGGGGTTGTAGCAGAATCCTGGGAATGAAGTCAAGCACACTGATTTTAGCTCTAGAATTTTGCTCTGGTAAATGAGTCGTCTGAGCGTGCAGAGCCAACCAAGAATGTAAAATATCATGCCGTGTTCACTTTTCCAGAATTGATGTTTTTCCTTAAGCAGAGGTGCAGCGAATGCATTGCGAACTTTGGACCGACTTCGTACGCGGTTGTTGAGGGGCAGCGGGTAACCGCTGGGAAACAGCCCAAGACTGGACAGTGTCTCTCCGTGGATAGCCATGAGCCCTGCTGCTTGATGGCCAATACTATACATACATTTTTTTCACTTACTCCTTTTCTGCTTTTTAAAACTAAAATTCTATTTGAATCCGAGAATTTGTGGCAGTGTGGGTAATATTTCAGGCAGAGGCTTGGTGCTTTTCAGAGCACCTTTTTGAATGTTTGAAGGTTTTAATACTTTGGGAAAGTACTTTGGTTTCTGTTTAGAAATTCACTGTTGAGATAGCAGTTGTGAAATCATGTTTCCAGTATGGTTAGCCGAGTCTCTGCTGGCAGCTGGATAAAGTGGAAAACTCCAGATCTTTAGGGTAAAACCGAATTGTACGTATAGATGAGCTCAAAAGGAACCTGTGTGCTGTAGAACAGTGATGCTACGGGACATGGGAAAGGATGTTTTCCTTGGAGCGTTCGTTGGGAGGAATACTTAGTCACTCTCCTTCTTTGCAGATGCATGAATATTAGAATCTGGACTCTATGTCAGGTTGTTCTGATTGAAGGCTTAACAGTGAACAAAACAAATTTCCAGCGCAGGGAGCTCATTGTGAGGGAAAAGATGAGCAGTGCACTCAGTAAAGCGGCAGACCTCACCCTGCAGGCTGTGATTGCCTCTGCTGGGACAGTAGGAAGTCAGCAGTGTGGTGTGGAGTGGTTGGAGGGTGACCTGGCTGGTAGAGTATTTGAGCAGAAATTCGAAAGTGGTAACAGTGACATTTCAGTGACCTGGAGAGAGAGCATCCACACAGAGGACCCCAGTCAGAGACCAGTCCCTGGAGTGACTCAGCCTGAGTGGGCGGAGGTGCAGATGCCATTTTATGGAGGAAGGGAAGACTTGGAAGGAGTCCTTGTTAAACAATTATGTGGCCCTTGGTCATACAGTTTATTTACATATGAGACACTTACTCAATTGAATGGATACTGTTCCTGTTAAAAAGCTATTTTCATCTTCTATTTGATGTGTTTTTTTGTCTTCCATGAGCCTCACAAAATATGCCTGTTGGAGCCAGGTCTGTAGCATAAAAACACCAGTGAGTTTGAGCATTGCAATGGGGTACTGTCTTCTCAGTGACCCTGTGATCTGGATTCACCATGTAATCATTGCCAGCTTGATGAAAATTATCCTTTTAATTTCTTTCCTCGAGAAGTCCTCTGAAACAGTGACTCAACATTTTCATGTTTTGGCATCTGAGTGATCATCAGATCAGAACCACACAGAAATAGATTGGTCCCAAAGCTAGAGGAGCACAGTGATTAAGGGGTATTTTTTATTCCTTGCAATAATGCGATCAAGGGAGCTTAATGAAAAAAGCAAAAAGTAAATAGCAGGGAGAGGATGGTGAGATTCAAAGGCCAGGCTGGTGTTCAGTTCTCCCTAGTTGGCCCGAATTGTGGTGCCCGGAGCCTTGGCCCTTTGGTGGTGGTGGTGAGCAGAGGGCTGTACTAAGAGGAAGGGAGGTTATATAGGGAACAAATTTGATGGTTACCATTTTCTTAACTTTTTTCTCCCTGACATCAGAGAAGATCTGAAGAAATTTCCTTTGGAAAAATGTGAAATGTTTTTAGATGATGAGTAAGTCATCATTACTTCAGTGACGGATATTTTAAGAGGTTCCCTCTAGCTATTGTACTGAGAATTAAAAGAGCCAAAGGGGTGGGGAAGCCGGGGTGGAGATTGGGTGATGGTTTTGTCAAGTTGCTAGCAGAAGCCATGTGGGATGTATTTTGAAGGAAGACCCTAAATAATTTGCCGATGGCTCAGAAGTAAGGTTACAAATAAAAGACAATGGCAGAGTTCTTGGCTTAATCTGATGAAGGATGGAGTTGCCACGAACTAAAGTGGGGAGTGCAGTGGAAAGGGCAGTTGGGGACAATAGGCAAGCAAGTCGGGCACTTGTGTTCTTTGGAGAATCACTGTGAAGGGAGGAGAGGGCTGCAGAGCTGGTCACATCTTTGGAAAGTGCAAAGCACGAGTACCATACAGAGATTGGCCAAGTGCGCCATTGGGATGTCCCTGATCTCAGGAAGGAGTCATGCACAGGGTCAGCTGGGGAGAAACTCAGTCTCCTGGCTGCCTCAGTCCTCAGTGAGGAAGGAGCCAGTGTCCTCAGCTAAGAGATGCCAGGACTGCAAAGGTCAGAGGTGCAATCAAGGACAGTAGAGCACCGTGAAGGTGAGTGACGGGGCCTCCTTGTCTGGGGTGCAGGTGGGGAGCGTCTGCTGTGCTCCCCACAAGCCGAGCTCTGTATGGCCTGGCTGCCTGCCTTTCTCTTAGGTGACTCATCTGCTTCATATTCTTTCAGGTGAAAAGAGTCAGTCTGTTTGGGAGCATTTACATCAAATGTAAAAAAATAATACACAGAAAAGAATTGATGTCTCCACCTATGCAAATGGTTAGATTTCCACTGTCCATGCAGATGACCAAACACAAAGGAAGTGCTGTGTACTCATCGAGTGAGATAGTGAATACTCACTCCATCAGGTGGACCAGGGGCTTTGCTATGGTTGTTGTGAATTCTGCCCCAAATCCCCAAATCCTTTATATACCCAGACCTGTGTTTAGGGCCTGAAGGACAGTAGCTTCAATGCATTACAGTGCTTTGATTTGACTAATTTTTTCTTTCATATTGAGTTTTGCTTTGTAAGAAGCTGACACCCACATAAATGTTGGACTCTTTTTATTTTATTGTTTTAAATTTTTAGTTTTTTGTTTGTTTTTGGTATGGGGGATCAAACTCACAACCTTGTGCTTGCCAGGTAGGCACTGTGCTGCTGAGCTGTATCCCCAGCCCGTGTTGGATTTTTAGATGTTCATCAGTTTAATATTTATAATTTTGGTACATGAACCAACATAATAAGCAAGTTTCGATATAACTTATTCAGAAATAGTTATTGCATTGTAAAGGTGAATTTAGAGCTTCAAGACACTTTAAAGTGTTTCAGGAAGTGGGGTGCAGTATAATTCCCATAGCATAGGAGGTCAAGGCAGGCAAGTTCAAGCCCAGCCTGGGTAGCTTAGCAAAACCCATCTCAAAAGGAGGGGTAAAAATTATATATCTATAGATATAAATATAGATACATAGAGAGAGAGGGTCAAAAAGGCATGTACATATTTCAGGTGAAGAAGTTATATAAATACTTTAATGCTAAATTTATTGAGACATCACGAGATTAATACAAGTTACCTTTGGCCTCCACAAGAGGCTCAGGTGGAGCCATCAGCTTCCAGACATGTATTAGTACAACAAACCGCTGCTTAGGGAACCTTAGTCATGGAGATTGCTGCACATACATTTCCCATTTCCTCTCTAAGGGCGGGAAGCGAAGTAGGTTTTCTGCAGTATGTGACATCCTCTAGGGTCTCCCATATGCAGATAACGCTGTCTGTTGAAAAAACATCCTACTATTTTTCTTTTCCTGAAGTGCGTATGTTTGTTTTTTTAAATGAACTTTATATAGCCTGGGGATGTAGCTTAGTGGAAAAGCATGGGTTCAATCCCTAGTACTGGAAAAAAAAAGTTTCAGGAAAATATTTACTTCCAGTTTTGTGTTTTGCTGTGGATGAGGAGTAATTTCAGCACAGACTGCCTCCCATTTTTTAAATCCATTAATCTTGGGTCAGTACGTGCCAGGCATATTCTAGGTTAGCAAGACCACAGTCCTGTTTGCATAGAAACTTCCACGCTAGGAAAGTAACAGAAGAACCCTGCCGTGTAGCAGATGTGGAAGGAAGTGTCCTGTTTCCATGGGGTGAGCGAGGAAGGTTTTCCGACTCAGTGACATTAACGGATTGTTTCCAAAAAACCAAACTCAAGTGTCCCTTTCCCGGCCATGCTAAGGGGCCAGCTTCAGCAGCACTTACTCTGTGCTGTTGCTGTCCAGCTGTCACATCCAGGAAGGTTAGAGCTTTGTCACTCGGTCCTGGTTGGGATGGCGGCAGCCTCCTCTCCACTCTGTAGGCTCTGCCCTCTCTCTGCATCCTTCTGGAGTAGGCACATTTGTCACTTGTTTTTCTTAGCTTCATTTGCCTCTGACCGCTCTCCTATTCAGAAGTGATACTTGTTGATGAAATGAGGGACTGTCTGTCTATGTGTTAAAAGTCATACATGTTAATTAGTGCAGTGAGGAAAGGTCCTGCCACAAACAAAAATGTCTCACTCTATTTGCTCTGCAATAACAAAACACCACATAGAGGAGGCTTATGAGCAGGAAAAGCTTCTCCCTCAAGGTTCCAGACCTGAGAAGTGCAGACCCGGGTGCTGGCCGGTTCAGTGTCCAGTGAGGGCCCACGTCCTGGTTCCCCGATGGAGTCATCCGCTGTGTCCTTGTGGTGGCAGGGGCCAGGCAGCTCTCTGGCGTCCTGGTTCAGGGCTCTCATTCCCTTCACGAGGGTCCCCCTGGTGACCAGCTCACCCTTCGGCAGCTGTACCTGGTGATAGTGTAGCACTGGTGATTAGGTTTCGCCTCATCAGTAGGCTTGCCAGAGACCCCCGCCTTTCCGACTGTCCTGTGGAGGTGCAGTGACGCCAGCATCGGGGGGAAAAAAGGTGGGGACAGCTGGTCGGAGGCAAGAGGAGACCCAAGCATCTGAGAACCAGCAAAGCAGGGTGATGTGGTGGAATGGAAGAGGCCATGACAAAGAGAAGTGGTCAGAGAAGGCGCAGGAAGGCCAGAGTCCATGGGTCTTAGGACTCTGCAGACTCTGGCTTTCGCTGCAGGATTCGCAGTAGGAGAAAGCCTTGCTGTCGTGCATGATTTGCAGCACACATTCAGGGCAGTGTTGTGGCCCCGTGGCTGGGAGTGCAGTGGGTGGAGATGAGTGTGGCAGCGAGGTGGTGCAGAGCATCCTAGGGGCAGAGCCAACAGAAAGTGCTGTTGGGCCAAATGAGGAGGTGTGGACTGGAGGGTCGGGGAGTCTGCGCGGAGGCCCGAGGTGCCCTGCCATTAACTGAGAAGAGCAGGTCTGAGGCCAGGCTTGAGACCTCACCTGGGGTCCCCAGGAGCTTGGCATATTCCCTTTCGTAGGCCGTGCAAGTGGGAAGCTGAGCCCTGAACTGTTCCTTAGGGACGCAGTAGTCAGGGGACTGGGTATGTCACTCAGCCACTCCCCGTATTTCCAGCCTTGCTTGGACTTCCTTGCTCATTTGCATGGCTGATTCCTCCAAGTTGCTTTTTTCTTACTTACTTTTGAAGGCTGACCCATTTTTATTTCAGTCTCATAGTTCTATTAGTTGGATGAAAGTTGGTGGAATACTTTATGTCTCTCTTTCCTGTCCAAGTGGAGTATCATTTGGATACTGCTATGGTTATATCCAAAGTAAGGGGAACATTTCAATTTTAGAATAAAGATAGGTGTAACCCCTGTAGTTTAAAGGATTAGCAGGTAAAGTAGAAAGCTGGCCTATTTCATGTTGCCCTAAGAGCTGAGTGATGTTTGGAAGCAGAAGGGGGGACATCTTTTCAGTCTGTGGTGTCCCTACCTCCAAATAGGCTGTATTATATAGGCTATCTCAATATAGGGGGTTGTGGGACACATCTGAGGGACAGCAGGTGACTGGGGTGTTGAGGTGATTCTGCAGGACACAGGTGAGGTGTGTTTGAATTTCCCTCTAGAATTGACCATTTTGGTAGTGACGTCAGTTTCCTGCTCGTTACTGAACCATGGGTGCCAGTGCGGAGCAGCATGTAATGCAGTAACCGTCCTCAGGTGGCCGCCAATTTCTTTGTTAGCTGTGTCTGGTGCATAGCTTTGGAATTGTGGCCAGTCCAGGATGAGATTCTGTACATTTTGGGCTGAATAGGATTACGCATGATGTCATTTTGTATAAACTGCTGTGTTTGTATATATGCACACATTAGTGTAGGTGGCACATTCTTTACCACAGGTGAAATAATCAGACAAGTCAGGCAGTGATTAGATAAATTAGATTCCTAGCGCTCTCAAAATAAAGACAATTGCAAGTTAGACATGGTGGTGCTTGCCCTTAATCGCGGTTACTTAGAAGGTTGAGGTAGGAGAAATGCAGATTTGATGACGGCCAGGGCAACTTAGTGAGACACATGCTTAATAGCTGAATCTTGGTAGTGGCCTGTGTGTCCATCAGCAGATGAATGGATAAAAAAACTGTGGTCTTTACGCACAGTGGAGCTCTACTCTGCTGAAACATAGACCTGAGTCAGTTGTAGGAAAATGGAAGACCATAATGTAAGGTGAAATAAATCAGACTCACAAGGTAAAACATTGCCTGGTTTCTCTGTGTGAGAAACCCAGCGTCTAAATAAAGTAAAGAGCAAAATAAAAGATCAATTAAAAAAAAACCAGGTAGATGGATTCTTTGCAAATGGGAAGGGGACCAAAACATGGAGGTGGGAGGGGAAGGAGACCTAACAAGAATCAGGATGCAGCATGTCATGTACCGACTCTGCCTAAAGAGCGCGGTCACTAATACTACACATTTGTACTAGAGAAATCAGTACAGGTGGGGGTGTGGCTCCATGGTACACTGCTTTACCTCACCATGCACGGAGCCCCCGTTCAGTCACTGGAACTGCAAAAATGAAACGAAAAGCACAGTTTGTGTCACCATTCAACTAAATGTTAAGTTGTCCAAGACTAGTGTAACATATTTAGATCTGAGTATTTGATTTGTCATATTTGAAAATTAATTTTGACACCGTTTACTTTCTATAGGGTCAAAGCCTTTTCCGCGCTTTGGGTATAAGCCCTCCCCGCCGAATGGGTGCGGCTCTCCACTGTTCGGGGTTCACGTGAGTATCGGGCTGTAGCTGCACCTTTCTGGTGGGTGGACTGCAGTGCTTTCCGTGATGCAGGACTGAATGTGGGCTAGCTTCCAGTGGGGCCTGGTGTAACAGTGATTGGATTTGCTGCTTTCTTTTTTGGTAAACATTTGATGACTCCCAGCAGAACTAAATGGGATAAAATTAATGTTTTATATTTGAATGCTGTTCTTGTTAATATCACTTAAATTATATTTTATTATGTCAACAGCACAGTATAGGTTTTATGTACAGGAATAATACTGCCTAGGGAGGAGAGCAGAGATAAAGCGTGTTTTCTGTATTGAGGCGAAGTGGGGTGGCAGGGTGTGGTTGACGGGAGGCTGGACCCCAGTGTGATTGTGAGGAGCACGTGAGTGTGACTCATGCACACGGGTTTCGTGATGCAATGATAAGTTACAGGTTCAAGATAATGGTACTTAAGGCCCAAAAACAAAGAGTGGAGTTTGAGTTGTGGATAATTAACACTTTCCTATCACGTTTTACTTAAAGTACATTTTATTTGGAGAAGGGTACAGAATATTTTGAAGTATCCCATAATCATACTTGCCTAGGTCCTGGAGAAGTCGTTGGATGACTTCAGCCTCACCTCGTGTTTTTGAAGCTGTGGTGTATTCTGTTTGGGCAATTGGGACAGCGTTACCAGCAGTTAACTGAGTGTCTAGCACTCTAGAATAGGGAAGAGCGAGCAGGGCTGAGACACGGTCCCAGGTGGGCGTGGAAAGAGTGCTGGAGAGATTTAGCTAGGTTTGGTAATCCCAATACTTGGGAGGCTGAGGCAGGAGGATTGACTTGAGTTCAAGGCCCGTCTGGGCTACCTAGCGAGTTAGAACAACCTGAACTACATAGCAAGACCCTGGCTCAGTAATAAGAGTGATGGGAAAACCTGTAACATGGGGACATCCATAGGCAAAAGTGGCCTTGGGAGCTACCTGGGCAGCACCATCAGGCATCCCTGGCAAGGCTGTCTGTGCACAGGGCCTCAGCTGGTTGCTTCCATCCCCCTGACCACCGTGCACCCCAATGCCCCACAGCTCAACATTGGCATCCCGTCCCTGACCAAGTGCTGCAACCAGCACGATCGGTGCTACGAGACCTGCGGCGAGAACAAGAACGACTGCGACGAGGAGTTCCACTTGTGTCTCACCAGGATCTGCCGGGGCTTGCGGAAGACGCTGGGCCTGGCCCAGAACGTGCAGGGTGAGCGCTGCGGGGGGGGGGGGGGGGCAGCTGGACCCTGGCGCTGCTGCAGCAGCTGGCAGAGCTTTCCTGCCCTGAGCCAAGGAGCCAGTGGTTGTCCCTGTCATCCAGAATGAGAGTCTCAGAAGCAGACTGTGTTAGGAAAGCCGAGAGGAAGTCTCTAATCACTGAGAACCTAAAGAGTGAAATCCCCAGTGAGCTGAGGCTTAAAGACGCAGCCACAGTGCTGGGGAGATGGAGTCAGTGACACCACGCAGTCACTGTCCCTCACGGCTGCTTCCCGTCTCAGACAGGGCCCTGCCACCGCGCATCTCAGGAAAGCAAGGCCTGGCAGCTCCCTGTGACCTTGGTGATGGGGCTCCGGGCACTTCCCTCCCCTATCATCACCAATTCCTTCATCCCAGAGTCCAGGATGTCGACATTGTCCATTTTAGAGGATCACAGCGTTTTAAATCTCTCCAGACAGCCTCCTACCTTAGACCTGGTTCTGAATCCTAATGGTGCGTGTCAGGGGAGAAATCTCCGCCCCGGCAGAGCACAAGGCCACCACCCTCTGCACACTTCAGGCTGAGGCCACCTGGCTGCACGCTGCAGCACGCCGGAATGTGTTTCTTGCTCCCTGACCCCGGAAGGGGGATACAGTGTGGCTGAATGTGACCAGGTTTCTTGCTTTTTCCTGTGTAACAGTCTGGCCAGTGCATTGCTTTGGGAGAACTTTGAAAATGTTAAGATTTCATAATAAAAAGCTGTTTCCTTACCATGAATATTTGAAACTAAAGGCATTTGATCAACTGAAAGCCACCTTGTGCTGCATCTCTATAAATGTACCATGTTGGGGTGTTTCAGGTTGCTTAGAATAAGAAAAGTAAATTGATTTTATTATTGATTGCTTTTTTAAAAATCAAAAAATCCTTCCAAGGAAAAGCTACTTTTGAGTTCTGTGACCTGTGAGCCCAGGGTGGAGGCTGGTGGGAGGAAGAGACTGGGCTGTGTGTATTAGGTGTCCTGCAGGGTTGCAATCAGCTCTTGGAGGCTGTGGGCACTGCCAGCAGGTTTCTGTGTTTAAACTTCTTTCATCTGCACCCCCCAGCCTCTTTGCAGGACTGGGGGGCTGGCTCACTGGTAGCTCTGTATCACATAGTTTGTGCACAGCCTGAGGTGTGATTTATAGCACCAAACAGCAACAGCAGCAAAACTTGCTTCAAAATAAGTAAGTGTAGAAGTTAGCAGGCATCTCTGCTGGTGGTCTTAGTCTCCAGCCAACAGGAAAGTTAACACTGATTGTGCTTTGATAGACACCATCACTTGACTGGTACAAAGCTTAGGATACATGGAGGGGAGATGAAAGCCAGGTCCACAGGTGCGGGCAGCCGAGGTTGGTGCTTGCAGGGAGTCGTGGGGCTGCCCCGAGGTGGGGGGACTGGGCAGAGCAGCAGGGCTGCTCACCGCTGTCACCTTCTCTCCGCAGCCTGCGAGACGGTGGTGGAACTCCTGTTCGACAGTGTCATCCATTTGGGCTGCAAGCCGTACCTGGACAGCCAGCGAGCTGCCTGTAGGTGTCCCTATGAGGAGAAGACTGATCTCTAAGGAGGACAGATGGACGGGACAGGGACTGGCGAGGATGGAGAATTTAACCTTTGCCAAAGTACTGGTGTTTTCACAGTTTAAAGCTGGGTTTTGGTGAAAGGACAGTATTTTGACGTTAAGACCTATAATAAAAACACATAAAACAGCTGGATGTGGTGGCACACACCTGTAATCCCAGCACTGAGGCTGAGGCACGAGGATCATGAGTTCGAGACCAGCCTGGGAGGCATAGCAAGACCCTATCTCCAAAAAATAAAAAGGCTGGGGAGGTGCGGAGGAGAGTGTGTCTGCCTTTTCAGGTATCTTTCTGGATGTTGCTGCTCAGTGGCCAAGTTGTCTTGACCAGTGTCAAAACAGGATATGTTAGCAAAGACATTTTGAAAAGAGGAGTGTATAACACTATCAGAAGAGTGTATATATTTTTTAAAATGTGATCAAATATATTCATTCACTATAGGGTCTATTCAGCATTATCTTTGGAAATGGGAAAATCTTCACTTACAAGTACCATTTGTTTAGTATGAAACTTGCAATAAACATTTATGCCTGAAAGGAACAGATGTTGTCGTTTCTTCTGTGTTTTGATCACACATGGCAAACTGCCTCTCTGCAGCCCCTGAAGTACATGAATAAGGCGTGCTAGTTACAAGGACTGTGCCCGTGTTGTTTCTTGTGGCATTAGCACTCAGCTGTGGCATTGCTTAGGATGCAGACCCAGGATGCCTGAGTGTCCTGTGACATGTGGGGCGGGGATGGGCAGGATTCTCAGAGCAGGTGTCACCGGGGTGCAACCCATCTGAGCTGGGGAGATGGGGACCAGAGCGCTGGGAGCTGCTGTGCCTGCCTGTTCACCCTCATACGGCTCCTCTTCGTGAGTTTCAGAATGTCCTTAAAACTATAATGTTTTACTGGGTGCAGCTGAATAGAAATTACTCTTGCTACTATCCTGTGCTTTTCCTTGTAGGGATGAAATGGATGGAACAGACGAAATGCAAAGAACTGCCTTCTATGGTTCTCTTAATACATGGAAAACTAGTAACTGACAGAGCAAATTGCAAAAAAGCGCGGCTGCCTCTGAAAATCCATGGACGAAAATCCATGGACGCTGAGCTTTTCCTGCACCCCTCTGATGCACAGCTATGCCGAGCTCACAGTCATGGCACCAGCAGCCAGGCTCCACGAGTCCAATTGGCTCCGGTTCTGGAGAAAGGGGCCACATCCCTAGGTCCGTGTCCCCCTGGGAACCCGGCAGCTCCACCCTGGGCAGCCACAGCCGCTGTGCTGAGAGCCGTGCCTTCTGCTGGTCCTCTTGTGCCTGAGTGAGCAGCCTGGGCCCCGATGGAGTGTTATGAACCCCTTCCCTTCCGCCCTCCTTTTTCTTTTCTTGGCACTGGACAGGGCTGAGCCCAGAGCCTTTGCATTAAGCTGCATCCTCAGCGCGTACTTTATTCTTCAAGACAGGGTCTTACAGAGCCACTGGACTGCCTGAATTGGGCTCTAGTGTGACCCTCCTGCCTCAGCGTCCCATGGTTGTGTTACTGACCTTGGCCAGCAGGCCAATGTAGAGCCCTTGATGGATACTTTATGTCAGTGTTTTATGAGAATGCAGTTTTGTAAACCTTTAACCAATGTTTGAATCTTTATGCATATTTATTTTGAAGTACTTGAGTAGATAACTTTAAACCAATAATAAATTAGTGGTTTTTCCTAGGTGGCTTTCTCAAGGGGACCAGTGGCAGATGTAGGGGCATATGCCTGTCATCTCCGCATTCAAGAGGCTGAGGCAGGAGGGTCATAGGTCTGAGGCCAGCCTGAGACACATGGAGAGTCCCAGGCCAGCCCTAGAATACATACACCTTGTCTCAGAAAAGACAAACCAAAAACATGCATAAAATACTTAATTCATGGTCATAAATAAAAATAATACACACTTTCCATATGTTCAAATTAAAAACGCTGGGATCATTAGGTTGCCCAGGTAAGATGGAGCCCCTCTTCCTGTTCCCTGCTGACATTCACAGAGCTGTCAATGATTACTGCCCCAGCACGTGACTGTATCCCGCCATCGAATCTGTTTTCCATACCTGTCATTTTTTTTTCCAGAAAATCTAGAGACCACGTGGCATCAGTGCTCGAGCCTGGCTCCCCAGCCCCGCCTTGTCCCCACCCCCATGACAGTGTCAGGTGTCCTACAATGTGCCCCTGCCCAGGTCTGAGGTCAGGCTGGGGTTGTAGGTTTAGAAGTGGGGCCCTGCACTCCCTGGCGGGTTCAGGTTTCTCCATTGTCAGTGTCTCCTCTCTGGCCAGGATTCTGTTCCTGGGAGACTCACCTGTCCCCACGATGGGAGGTGTGGGGACAAGCCTGTCCCCGCCTTGGGGAAGAGAGAAGCACCTTAGTCATGATACGTGATACGTGATACGCGGAGCTCTGGGAGAAAGGCTCTCCTCCCCTGCCTCGGCCGGTGATGTCACTGTGGATGTTTCTTTCACTTAAAGCTGGCTGCTCCAATTGTTCCCCTTGGCTCCAGAGGTCTGGTGGCAGGCTACTGAGTCCCTCAGTCCATACCTTCTGACTTTTTGGAGTGAGATGGGTGGTGCTAGAAGTTGAGCCCAGAGCCTTCTCACCAAGCTACATCTCCTGCCCTTTTAAAAATTTTTCTCTTGAGGCAGGGCGTTGCTCAGTTTGCCAGCCTGGGCTTGAACTTGTGATCCTTCTGCCTCAGCCTCCCACTTGACTGGGATCACAAGTGTGTGTGCTGCCACGCCTGGGCATACTTTTGGCTACTGAGCACCCTCACTTCTGGTGCCACAAGATGCTCCCAGCACTTCTTGTGCCATTGTGGCCAGGGAGCCATCGTCACTGCTCTCGGCCTCCGTGGACAGAGCTGGGATGTGTATGCAGGTTATCCCTGCGTGTGTGCATATCTGTATGTCTCATGCACTAAATGTGTGTGCATATTCACCCTGCATGCGTGCACATGCACGTAGTATAGTGAGCTAAATGTGTGTGCATATTCACTTACACATTCATTTCTCCAGGACTTCAGCAAATTTCTCAGTGATTTAACTATTGTAATTCTCGCAGTTTTCCCCTTGTCTTTACTGCTGGTAGCACTGTTTTTGGAACCGTGGTTGCGATATTTTATGCAAATTAAGTATAAAAAGAAGCACAGTGTGACTCTTGGAAAGCACCAACACAAACACTGTGTTGTCTGGGTGTGAGCTGCACTTAGACTGAGGTGTTGCCTTGGTGTCTGCTGTGGGACCAGTGCATGAGCCACTAGGTTTTGGGCCTGTACAGATTTCTCAGGTTGGATTCTGGTTCAGCTAGTAGCCAAAGTTATGAACACCAAGCAGGGCTTTTTTTTAAAACTAGTGGGAAGTTGGAGTTTAGAGCTGTTTGACAACCAAGGTGTCACTGTAGTCCATGAGATAACTATTAATAAAACAGCTGGGTGTGGTAGTACAAGCCTGTCCTCTCAGCCCTCTGGAGGCTGCTGCAGGAGGACCGAAGTTCAAGCTCAGCCTGGGCAATTTAGTGACTTAGTGCATGGTTTTGAAGATTTCAGTCCATGGCCAGGTACCAAAACAAACCTTTTTTTTTTACGTTGATTTAGCACAGTATTATAGTAATGAAAAGCTAACATAAGTACGCAACAAATTTAGGTCTTGAGACAAAAAAAAAACAAATACTTTTCAAATACAAAACCACATATTTCAAGGAAAAAAATACAAAACCACATATACCATAAAAGTAGCACATTATTTTTGAAACAAGATATTTAGAGAGAAGAAAGTGACAGATTCTCACAACTGCTTCTCTGAGATAGGCAGTTCAGCAGGCTGGGCTCTGTTCTCGCAGTTTTCAGGACTGGAGCAGAAACCAGGGAAATGGGGCCAAAGGACAGGAACTTCGGGTAGGCAGATAATATAAGCTCCAGGAAACAAACCTGGAACTCATTGTGTAGCTAAATATTTATTGAGCACCTCCTGCAGGCTTTGCAATTGGCTTAGGTAATGAGGAAACAAAACAAAACAAAAAAAGCCAATCCTGTTTGCTTTACATGAGTGTAATAAGACGTTAGCAATAAAATATTCATGCACTTTCCAGCTGGCCAGCTGTGATCTAAGGATTGTGTCTTAATTACAAAGTAAGTTATTAGGACAAACGCATGTGATATTACCACTTGCAAAGGGCCCAATGAATAGAGGATAAGGAAGGGGAAAGATTCATTCATTAAGCCTTAGAGAGCAGTGAGGTGGTGGCCCAGTGTCCTGGAAGTCCCCCTGGACACAGGCTTCACACTTTTCACTGTCAGGACCAGGGGTGGACTTGCCTCAGTCTGAAAGGTGCAGGAAGCTGGGTCCATTGCCCTGGCCCTGCCAGCTCAGGGAGTTCATGCAGACTGCCCTCACCACGGTCCACCAGTGCAGCTTGGTTACCTCTCAACCAGGTGCTAGGATCTGAATGAAAACCCTTCTTCTTTGGGTTCATGCTCTGAGACTATTAAAACACGAGCACGAACAGACACGTTTTCAAGTTAGATTTCGTTTTTTCACTCCGAAAATCTACAGTATTCCTACGCCGGATCCCTCACCCCAGGACCCGTATGTGTCCTGCAGACACGATGCCTTCACGCAGCCCCCATTGGGCGCTGGCTGCTTTGTTCATGACAAAGTCCAGTAAAGTATACTAATCGAAGCCACGTTTTATCTGGGGGAACTGTTCGCTCGAGTGACTTTCACACGGGGCGCCACTGAAGTAGCTGCGTGCGCTGCATTTGCTGGGTGAGGACCCCAACACCCTCCCCAGACCCGCGTGTTAATTCCAACTTCTGCACAGTTTCCTTCCTCAATCAGTGCTCTCTGTGAAAGTCCGATCTCCAGTTTATGCCCCTCGTTGTAGCCCGAATCTCACGCCGCGCTCCTGGGCAGCAGCCAGCGGGTCCTCAGGCCGGATCGCCCCTCCCACCCCGGGCAAGGAAAGAGACCGCGGCCCTGCCCCGGCAGCTGGGTTCCGGGTCCCGGGCTCCGGGGATGCCTGAGGGGGGCGGGGCGGGGCCGGAGCGCGGAGGGGCGTGGCTTGGCTGCCAGGGGGCGTGCCTAGGGCGGTGGGCCGGGGGCGGAGCCCGGGGGGGTGCTGAGCCGGGGGCGGAGCCCGGGGGCGCTGAGCCGGGGGCAGGGCCGGAGGCAGGGCCGGGGCGGGCCGGGGCGGGGTCGCGGGCCAGAGTAGAGGAAGCTCCCCTGCTGCCGCGGCGCGGGGCCGAGCTGGGCGCGAGGCTGCGGTGTCCTGCGGGTAGGTGAGAGCCGGGGTCCCCGGGTAGGGAAGGCTCGGGAGGCGCTCAGGCTGCGGGCAGCGTCGCCTCGGCGCGGGAATCCCCGGCGCCCCCTTCAGAGCGCGGTTCGCAGAGCGCCCAGCCAGGTGCCCGGTGCCGCGGAGGCCGGGCCTGGGCCGCACCGCTGCCGACCCCGGGGCCGCAGCTGCCTTCGCGGACTTCAGGACGCTCTTCCGGTGCCCTGCTGATTATACCGCTTAGAAACTGAGCCCGGCGGCCATTGGCCAAATCCCAGCACTCTGGGAGGCCGAGGCGGGAGGGTGGAAAGTTTGAGCTCAATCGCGGTGGGGGGGGGGCACTTTTACAACTTAGTGGGACCCTGCTTCAGAGAGGGCGTTGAGGACGTAACTCAGTGGCGAGTCCCTAAAGCCTGGTTGCGCTGTTTTTAAAGGTTGAAACGCTGACATTCGGGCGCCTTGATACCCAACCACAGTCCCTGCACCTCGCCCCCACCCTACTGGCCGAGCCTCTTCCTCACCTGCTCCTTTCGCCTTCTCCCCACCGCCTTTCCAGCGTGCACAAGGACTGGGGTGGGTCACCCAGGACAGGGTCACCATATAAGTGGCAGCCTGGGAGTCAGGAGAGGTGTTCACAGAGGCCACCAGGAAAGGTGACAAGACTCTCCAGGGGCTTGGTGACGCAGCGTTCGGGGATTCAAATCCATAGGCAACCTGGCTTTCAGCCCCAGCTCTAGGTCCCTGACCTTGGACAGACCTGGCCCACTTTATCCCTGTCCCCAAGGTGAGACACTGAGATAAGCTATCCAAAGAGCCAGGCTATCCTCAAAGGGTTATCTGGAGCTATCAGGAAATTAGAGTGAGGAGACAAAATGAGTGATAGATTCTGTAGGAATTATACTGATTTAAAGAATAAGGAAATGGAAGTTACATTATAGGGGAACAGAGAAGTGAGAGATATTGAAGAGTTAGGTTGAAGCTGGGCATGGTAGTGTCTAGCTGGGGGCTGAGACAGGAGGATCTCAAGTTTGAGTTCGATCCCCAGTGCCGATTTAAAAAAAGCTTAGACCCACCTGGACAATTTAGCAAGATTCTGTCTGAAAATCAACAGTAATAAATGGCTGGTGATGTAGCTCAGTGTGGTGTAGGGTTCAGTCCCTAGTGGGGGGCATCAGGTTTAATGATCCATACATGTTTGATTAACTACAGGTTGCTATGGTTTGGGTCTAGATGTCCCTCCAAAGCCCACTGCAGTCCTGGGGGCTTTTTCAGAGAGAGCTTGATCTAGAGTGTATGATGCTGAGATTGATTCATGTAAAATTCGAGGATCAAGGGCACTAGGATTAAGGCTGTGTGTGCTACCCGCTGTCCATAACCTGGGTAAGACACCAAGGGCAGAGACAGCTGTGGGGTCCCTCGTTGCTTTGCTCCCTTGGCCCGACGTGGCTGCCTTTGCCCAATGCTCCTCTGCCCTGCCTTCCCTGCTGTGGACCCTATCTCTCCTCCCCAGGATCTCCGTGGCTTCTGTTCGACTCTCACCCACTTCCTGCGTCTCAGAAAGGCTCTGCCATGACATTGTCTGCATCTGAAGCCAGTGTGTGTTTACACTGTGCAGTCGCAGAGCTTTGCAGTGCGTACACTTGTGCATTTTTGTTTCTGTTGACGATTTATTGTCTTGCAGGTGAGAGCTGGGGTGAAAAAGTGCTGATCTGTTACAGTTCCTTGGTTGCCCTGCATTTCCCACATCTTAGAGATGGGGCTGGGAGCCCCTGTGGCGTTTTTGCAGTCATCGGTCAAAAAGTAAAACAGTTCACAAAATCAACTGTTTTGTTTTGTTTTGTTTTTTAAACAGGTGAGGGACAAAGAATAGCAGAAACAGATACTTTCCTGACCAGGTAAGTGTGTGCTCATTTCTCATAAAGGTCTCTCCCTTTGCTGACTATGTCGTCCCTAGGACAGCGAGAAGGGGATGCAGGAGTGAGGGAGGAGCCAAGGAAGTCAGGTCTGACCTTGGAGGAGTGGATTTGTAGGTCGAAGGGCTCCTTCTATCCCAGCAATGTCCAGACACTGTTTTCTGAATTGATGCTGCATCGTGAACTTGGCCATGGGGATATATGGCTGAGACAGCAGAATCACAAGTTCAAGCCCAGCCCGGGCAATTTACGGAGACCCTATCCCAATAAAGAAGGCTGGGTATGAAGCCCAGTGCAAAGGTCCTGGGGTTGATCCTCAGTCCTATAGGTACAAATTCAAACTGATACAACTTGGGCACTATGCCAGGGCTCAGTGGCAGGATCCAGGGGACCAGGGTAATGTGTCTGTGGGGAGTGGCTGGGAAGGGCTCTCCTGTGTAATCTGACCAATTCCACCTGTGGGTGACTCGTGGCCAGCATGGCATTTCCTGACATCTGGGGGAATCGTAGCCCAGTGCCACCGCAAGCAACAGACATGTATATGCCCTGTGCCTAGTGGCCTGGAGGGTACTGTTACCTAATCCCCTCTAAGTGATGGCTCTACAAACCTTCCACAGACACAGAGATGGTTGATCCGGCAGAAGAGTACAGAATGGACCACAAGAAGAGAGGGGTCGCGCTTATCTTCAACCAGGAACACTTCTTTTGGCACCTGAGGCTGCCGGAAAGGCGGGGCACTAACGTTGACAGGGACAACCTGGCTGAGAGGTAGCACTCCTGAGCCCCGGATGACCCACTGATGGCTGCAGACACGGTCCCCGGGACACGCGTGCTCGGCTCTCTCAGTCCCTAGTGGCACAGAACCAAGACCAGCCGCAGCACAGAGCCTCCCTAGAACGCGGCGGCCTCCCCTCCCTTCCATTCTGCATTAACTGCCTCACGCCCTCACTAACGCACTTGTCCTGCCAATGGTGCTTTCTAAATTGAATCAGCGTCATCGTGGCTACTAAACCTTCCTTAGTGTGGGTGATCAATTTTTGTCATTTTTTTTTTCTTTTCTCCTAAAGAAAAGTAGATTTATGGGTCATAAAAATGGGTGTAGATCCTCAAAAGTAAGGATATATGACTTTGGAAAAGCTCATCAGCTAATATTCCATTTACTGTATCACCAGGCTTTCAGAGCTAGGATTTGAAGTGGAATGCTTTAATAATCTTAGAGTGGAAGAGCTGCTGCACAAAATCCATGAGGGTAGGTGGATCCGCCATCCTTCCTTTCCACCCTGGGTCATTGCTGTGGACTCTCTGCACAGACAGGATGCGTAACTACTGCACGGGAAGGCGAGTCAGCAGCGTAGCATGGGTTGCAGGTTTTTGCCAGGCCTGTCTGCTTCTGTTGCCAACCAGAGCTGGAGAGCCAGGCAAACCATTGTGCAAATTTACCGTGTTCCTGTCCACAAGAGGGGACACGAGCTCCACTGCTTCACGGTAGAAGTTGCCAGCATGAACCCCGTCCATGCCGGGCTTCGATAGGCTCATTCTCCCACTGACGCCTTTCATATCACATTTCTTTCTTTTTTTTTTTTTTCATACCACATTTCTTCATTGACTTCAAAGTTGTGATTTGCAGATAACAGAGCTCATTTCTGCACCACCATTGGCACTGGGTACTGCAGTGATGTCTCGAGCTCTGGTCACTCCCACAGGCCCAGCTTAGCAGGCTACTGCTGGGCTACTGTGACCTTCCTGTCAGTACTCTAGACATCTTCTGATTCAGCTGCAGGTCACTTTCCTGGCTGCACCCCAGGCTTCTGCTTTGCTTGTGCGCTGTGCAGGGCCCGAGACCTCGGACGCTCATGTGCTCAGGCCTGCTCAGGGCACCATGCTGGCTCCTTTCTGTCTGCTCCAGGAAGCCTCTTCGATTCAGAGAAACTTAGTTTATTGCCAGACAAGCTTGGCTCTTACAGGAGGCTGCCCAGCACAGTCTCATTCATGTTTGCACATCGTCATGCTAAACGCAGACAAGGGCAGGGATGTTGCTCAGGGGAGGCCAACTGCCTGGGTTGTGTGAGGCCCAGCTTTCGTCCGAGGACTGGGGGTGAAAAGAGCTGGTGAAATTAGGTTAGAGTCTATTACTCTGAACTTTTTTGGGGGGTAGGGATTGTGACAGTCTTGCTGTGTAGTCCAGGATGGCTTCAAACTTGTATAATCCTCTTGCCTTGGCCTCCCAAGTACTGACATAGTCCCATGCTATCTTACTGGGCAATTTTGAACTTTAATAGTTCAGATACTTTGCATTGGTTAAAGGATACTAACTTTCCCACCCAGTCATATGAGAGACTCTTTCTTCTGGTAGCAGCAAACTGAATTTGTCTGTGTAGATGACAAGCATCTTACTTTGTTTCTGTGTCCACTTTTGGGGGCCTCCAAAGTGTCCACTGCGAGCCACGCGGATGCCGACTGCTTCGTGTGCGTCTTCCTGACCCATGGCGAAGATGACCATATCTACGCATTTGACGCCAAGATTCAAATCCAAACCTTGACTGCCCTGTTCAGAGGGGACAAGTGCCAGAGCCTGGTCGGGAAACCCAAGATATTTATTATCCAGGTGAGGCTGGCCAGAGCATCCTGTGCTCATGTGGGCCACAGTGCGGTACGTATGATCAGAAAGGTTGAAAAGCCACTTCTGTGGTGCATAGTTATTTAATCAGCCCATGTTTGCATTGCATAATGGTTCCTCCCTTGTGTGGAGCTGCCACACATCACACACGATCACAGTGACTCAGCTCAGTTCCGTGCCTTCCCCCTCCGTCCATCTCTCAGTCCCCGACCATTTGAGAAGGATCTCTCCCTGTTCCTGTATTCCGTCTTTTGTTTTGCTCCTTACTTGTACTCTCTATAAGGAAATCATGTGCTGTCTAAGCTTGCATGTCCCATTTGTTTCACTTAACATTAATGGCCTTTGGGGGGGGTGCACTCATTTTCTTAGAGTCAGATTTCTCCTGGTAGCAGAGCAGTGCTCGGTGGTGTGCAAGCCACACAAATCCGAGCTGCGTGGTAGCTGTTGGTGATAATTCTGTCTGATGCCGCCAGTCCCTTTATCATGGGAGCCTGTACTGGGCTTAAACTGTGAAGGATGCCAGTACTTGGCACTCCCCAAGCTGGCTTAGGGTAGCGGATGATTTCCCCTGAGCAGCAGCACTTGGCACATGGAGAAGGATTTGAAACAAAACTAGAGAAACTAAAAGCCCCAAGTGCTTTGGTCCAGTGTTTGCAGGGTGGCCTGTGGTGTGAGTCACCCGATGGCACACAGTGCCCCAGAGCAGGGCAGGGACAGTGAAGGGGACAGCTGGGATCAGGCCACATGGCATTCTGGGGCCAGGGGACTTCAAAGCGGGCAGCCTTGACGAACATGGGAGGAGTCTGGAGGTGGCACCATGGGGGAACAGCCTGAGTACCGCAGACCCCTAGTGCCACCAGCGGGTGGGGACAAAGAACTGGAAGCAAGGGGCCCAGAGCAGAATGACTGAGATGGAAAGGACATGGGTCAGTGCTCTGGGAGGCTGAGGCAGGAGGATCACAAGTTTGATGCCAGCCTGAGCAACTTAGTGAGACTGTCTCAAAATTTAAGAAAGTTAAAAAAAAGTGTTGGGCTATCGCTTAGTACAAAGGCCCAGGATTCAATTCCCAGTACCGAAAAAAGAAAGAAAAAGTTGTTTCATGGGAGGGGTTGGGGGGTAGTCAGCTCTGCCAAACCAGAGCAAAGCGGAAGTGGTCCCGAGCGCCTCTTGTGAGGATGCCGCAGGGAAGGAGGTGCTTGGCTGGCTTAACCTCCTTCCCGGCTCGTCTCCATTCCCCAGGCTCCAGCTGCCCTCCTACCTCAGCCTCCCAAGTGGCCGGGACAGGGACACCAGCTTCTGTGCATGGCATGGACTCGGATTCTTTAGCTATGGGCCAGGACAGGATCGACCCCTGCCCCTGGGGATGGCCGTGAGGGTAGAACAGGCTCACAGAACGAAGGAAGCAGCCCAGGCTGGTGTCCAGTGGGTATGGGGCAAGACCCCTCCAGAGCCCGGCTCAGCCCTGACGTGGCTGGCGGGAGACCTCTTCACGCTACAGGTTCTGTGTTACATTGATGGAGCCGAGTGCAAAATAAGACCTGAAAATAAGCCTGATGAATACTGTAGTTAAACTGGCTGTGGTGGCACACACTTCTAATCCCAGCTTTCGGCCGCTGAGGCCAGGCTCAGCTCCATAGCCAGACCTTGTCTTGAAAGAAAAAATGTCTAATGCATCAGCAGTGGTAAAATCACAGTAGCGCTTTCCTCCCCCGGTTTTCCCATTCCATATACTTGGGTGTGCGTTTGTGGATGCCAGTTGTTTAGCATCAGAAAGGGGAATGTAAGTGGGGAAAAAGCTTTGACACCTGCCATCCCTGCAAGGCTGAACTACACTGCATGGCGTGGGTGCCCCACCTCGGGCGGAAAGCGGCAGCACAGCGCTTGTCCCTCTGGCCTCACAGGCTTGTCGGGGTGAGCAGCACGACCCGCCTGTCGTCCCCCTAGACGTGGTAGACAGTCACCCCCCGGAGCCCCCGGAGAACATCACTGAGGTGGACGCAGCCACGGTGCACACCCTCCCCGCGGGGGCCGACTTCCTCATGTGCTACTCGGTGGCGAAAGGTGAGTCCGAGCAGAGCAGCATGCACAGCGACTCCTTTATGTTCGGAGACTTGGTCCCACTCAGGTTGCTACACTGACTGGACTGGTACACACTTTGGATTCTCCTGATTCAGCTTCCCACAGTGCTGGGACTGCCAGCTCATTTTTCACCTTTGATTGAGTTGGACCAGGTCTTTCTGGATTAAATCAGAATGTGTCAACAGAACTCTCTGAATGTACCACTTACTTCCTTAGTCAGGGAGCATGGAGTGAGAAGTGTCAGCTACCATAGAAAACGATTCCCTCACACACCTGTTATCCCAGCACTCAGAAGGCTGAGGCAGGAGGATCACCGTGAGTTCAAGGGTAGCCTGGGCTACACAGGCAGTGCAAGGCCAGTCTCAACTATACAGAAAGAGACCCTACCCTGTCTTAGAGAAAGAAAAATAAGAAAGCAAGAGAACCACCATGCTTTGCTGCTTCCACTCTAGGATATTATTCTCACCGGGAAACGGCCCGTGGCTCATGGTACATTCAAGATTTGTGTGAGCTGCTGAGGAAATACGGATCCACGCTGGAGTTCACGGAGCTGCTCACGCTGGTGAACAGGAAGGTTTCCCAGCGCCGCGTGGGGTACTGCAAGGACCCCAGCGCCATCGGCAAGAAGCAGGTGCCGTGCTTCGCCTCTATGCTGACAAAAAAGCTGCGCTTCTCGCCCAAGCTAGCATCTAGGCCCGGCCCGGCCTCCCCGCGGCCACCCCAGCCCTTACATTAGCCCCAGGGGTGAGGGCCAGCCTTGTATGACGGGCCCAGTGAGAAATGCTTTCCTTTTTCATTCTTTACTTTTCTTTTTTATATTTTCATGTTAAAAAGACTTGAAAAATACTCAGGAAATTACATTCAAATGTACAAGCATTGAGTGATTTTTTTTAATGTAAACCGTAAGGGCCCCCGAAATATCTAGCTGATTGAGCTAGCACTCTGCCTTTTTATAAAAGCTTTCTTACTAATGTTTTTAAAGACTGTCGAAATCCAAGAATTAGATCACAGTTTCCCTTTAGTAAGATATTTGAAGATCATGGCATAATAAACTTTTCTAATTCATACTGGTTTCTGGGCTGCTTTTCGTGGGTCGTACGCATGTTTACTGCTTCTCTGCATTTGAATTTCCATCTCCACACCTTATCTGCGACTTTACTACTTAGCAGAGAACCGTGCGCCCCGCTGGCGCTGCGCTCGTTCTGAGGATGCAGCCTGGAGCAGGGCGGGTGGATGCGGCAGAATCCAGCTTGCAGCATCCTCCAGTAACCATCGCCTTCCGCCAGGCAGCCCAGCGCGGGCCCCTGTAGCAGCTCCATGCTTTTGACACGGATGCGTCTGACAGCTCGCTGATGCCAGCTGGGCTGAGGACAGAGAAACACCTAGGTTCGGAGAACAGCCTCACGCCGCACGCGGGGACTGAGGCCTTTCCTCCCAGCCCTGCCCATGAAGGAGCGCAGCCAGCCGCCAGTCTGCAGGGGGCGCGAGGGGTGATGCTGGGGGACCGGGTCTACAGGAGCGAGCCACCGAACCTGCACCCCGAGTTCCAAGTGAGCCAGCAGCCGATATGTGCTTCACACCGGATTTATTAACCATTAGGAGGGAGCCACAGATTCTAGCCCCGTGCACACAGCAGGACCCCACAGGCCAGGACCAGGGGCTGCTGAGGGGGGTGCAGAGGGCAGGGCGTGGGGACAGAGACCACGCTGTGGCTGAGAGTTTACACTGCACAGACACAGACTTCCCGCAGCTTCCACGAGGCCAGGGCTGCCCGGCTGGAGAGCTAGGCACTAGGTATGCATCCTTGGCGGGAAAAGGCAGGGCTTGGTCTCTCCCAGCCAGGAGGTCTGAAACGAACCGCGAGGCTGATGACATCCAGCTCGCTTAAGACTGCCTCAGAGTGCGCAGAAAAGCCACCGCAGCTAAGCCTCCTCGCTCGGGTCTTCTCGGTGCAGCCCCAGCCGCAGCGAGCGCAGCGAGCGGCGCACACAGGTCAGGGACTCTTCAGCCTGAGGGCGGGGAGGCAGACACAGACCTCCTTACTGTCCGAGAAGATTCCGTGACCTTAAGGCAACAAAAGCTTTAAACCCCTGGGGGCAGATGCCTAAATTATTTCAACTTTGCATCCCTTTTAAAAGATGGATATGGCCCATATTTCATCCTTATGCTTCAACAAAAATTAGTTTAGTCCCTTTATAATGGCTTTTCCAGTTCATATTCTAAAAAAAATAAACCCTCCACGATCCACCACTTTGCTTTCATGTCCTACCCTGTGGAGAGCAGGGAAAATATTCCTCAAATGTATGCGAATCCACAATTTAGAAAACACAAAGGATTACAGTTTTTCTGCTTATATGAAATAAACGATTTTAAAGATTCAATCTGGGGGTTAAAAGTGATTTCTAATCTCTTTAACCTCATAATAGTTTAGACAATGCATGTTAACTGTACATGCATTGAGGAGTGCGGGACATTTGTACTGGAACTTTTTGCTGAAGAAATTACTGACAGAGGAATCCTGCTATGTGCTGCAAGGTTCATGTATTAATTGGGAGCCCACGGCCAGGCCCTGCCTTCGAAGCCCACTCTGACTGTGCTGAGGACCCTGCCGCACCTGAGGCAGGCAGGCAGGCTGCAGCCGGGCCTCTGCTTCCAGCCAGGGCTCCCGGCCGCCTGCACAGGTCGGTGGGGCCATGAGGGCAGCTTCCCCTGCATCTGCAGGGAGGGGAGCAGCGGAGGAGAAGAGAAGTGGGGAGGGGAGGAAAGGAGAGGAAGGAGAGAGGGGACGATACCTTCGTAGATCTACTTCTAGGCAAAGAAATAAATGCCATAGAGTTTAAAACTCCCAGGACTATATTTACCTTACTTGCTTAAGAATAGATTCTTGCTGAACGCATTTTTTACTCTCTATTCTCAAACTCATTCAAAAGGGGCATTTCCAGCTTTGTGTGTTGGTGCACACCTGTAATCTCCGCATTCTGGGAGGCTGAGGCAGGGGGATCACAAGTTAGAGCCCAACTTGGGCAGTTTAAAATAAAAAATTTTAAAACGGCTTGGGGATATAGCTTGATGTGAAGCATTGGGTTCAATCTTCAGTACCAAAAAAAAAAAAGCAAAAAAACCCTTTCCCTTTAAAGAGTACAAACAATGAACATCAAACCAGGATATAAAGTAAATATCCAAAACATCAAGTATTTTTGTGGCTCAAGCTCACAACACGCAGAACTCTCCACAGCCCCGCTGCAGCCCATGAGGAGGAGCCTGTGATTCCAATGTCTCCCATCTCGCTGATGCCAGCGTCTCCCCCCACCAAAGCAGCCCCGAGGACCCAGCTACCTTGGCCAGCTCGTCCTTTAACTTGTTGTACTGCTCCACATCGAAGCGCTGGTGCCAAGACTTCTTGTGGAAGACGTGAAGAAACTGCCGCCTCCTAGCAGTGGGATAAGTGTAGTTCTAAAGAGAGAAGAAATCAGCAAGTCTGGAGGAACAACTCGGCTCTGATGCACACCCTGCATGGCGCCTTTGAGCCGTGCCATGAAGGTGCTATGCTCCGCAGTAGGAATGTGATTACATTTATAACCCGCGGCATGGAGGGCCTGAGTTGGACGAGTTTATGCCCATGGAGGAGCCCCTACTTCTCCTGATTACTCCTCTCTAAAGGCTGGCTGTAGCTACAGAGTTGCCTCTCTCCAGCCTTAGGAGAAACGGCACAGAAACACACAGCCTGAGCTCCTGACCTGGATAAGGCATTCCTAGCCAAGAGGTGTGTCCCGAGCAGTGACCAACCTGCCGTGTGACTATGAAATACGCAAAGAAGACCATGGAGTTGGTGAAGGAGAGGAAACAGGTGACCGGCTCCATGAGGTCCCAGGAGAACACCCACCAGGTGAGCCAGGCCAGCACACCGCCCTGCGTGGACAGCAGAGCCAGCCCAGCCCACAGGAGCCTGCTGGTGCTGGCTTCGGCGCAAGCTTCGATTCTGGCTTTCACCTAGGGGAGGGAGAACCTCTCGGTCAGATCAGCCTGTCATCCCAGCCCTCCGGGAGCTGAGGCAGAAGGGTTGCTCGATGCAAATTCAAGGCCAGCCTGGGCTACACAGCCAGACCCTGTTTCAAAACAAAACTGAAAAAAAATGGTTTACAAATGCAGCAATTTAAGAGGAAAACAAAAAGCAAGAAGAAAAGGAACCTTAAAGCAGCGTGGGTCTGCATTCTTTTAAAGAGGTCAGGTATAGGGAAAGCAATTTATGGAACATACATGAGACTCATTTCCAAATCACGTCACAATAAATCTTTTTTACACTATAAAGGTTATACCTGTTCATGATTTAAAAAAAAAGAACAAGACCAGTACAGAAGGGCACCCAAGGAAAGAGTAAATCACCCTCTGTACACTAGCTAAACATCCAGGCCTGCTTCTTCAGACCCTGCGTCGCGCCGGGAGGCTTCTCCCTGTACACCTGCTCGGATGTGCTTCTCTCCTGTCGCTGTTCAGAGGAGGGTGGCGGATCCACCCGCAGCTGCCAGAGGAAGCGCGGAGCTCCACGGGAAGACCACAAAGCACAGTGATAAGAGGCACACAGAGAATCTAGTGATGAGAGGCCTGAGGCGCACGGTGGCTGGGGGTGCAGGCAAGGAATGGGCTCCAGCACAGGGCTCCGGCTCAGATTTTCAATTTTTTTTTTTGTCTTTTTGTTTTTTATCGGTACCGGGGATTGAACTCATGACTGCCTGCTTGCAAGGCAGGCTCTTATGCCACTGAGCTAAATCCCCAGCCCCAGATTTTCAAACTTTTAACCCAAGTACGTATCAGTTTCTTAAAAGCAGAACAATTAAAATACGGTAATCCAGAAAAACTAAACACAGTCCCTTGCTCTGCCATTCCCTAAACATCCTTCGCAAGTGATCACTATTAGAAATTACAACTTCAACTCGGCAGATGCCTGTAATCCCAGCACTGGAGAGGCTGAGGCAGGAAGATTGCCTAAGGCCAGCCAAACTATATAGTGAAGTCCTGTCTCAAAAAACAAAATAAAAAAAATTTCAATTCACATGGCTGAAGATGTAGCTCAGTGGCATAAACACCTGCCTGGCAAATGCAAGGTCCTGAGTTTGATTCCCAGTACCAAAAAAAAAAAACAACAAAAAACCAACTTTCAATTCATATACAAAGATATACCTGAACCCTCCAATTTTTCCTAAACAAAAAAGCACAAATTAGATTGCAGGCTCAAAGAATAGCTTTTTCCTTAAACAGGCTCCCCACCTCATCCCCCAAAAGGCCAGTTATTTTGTCTCCGGGGCTAATTACCTCAGATTTATGTCTGTAAAACCAGGCAGAAGCAGTGGCCATGGCCCACCAGGTCCCACCTCAGAACTGCTACATAGATGAGGGGGTTTCAGGAGAGAGCGAGTCCCGGGCAGGTGCTCAGGACTCCTAGACGCACAAAATGCAGCTGAGTGTGACCTATGGGACTGGCGTGAAGACCTCACCTGCTCCAGAGGCTGCAACTGTGCCTGCAGGTGGTCGATCCTCACCAGCAATCGGTGCTCCACCTCCTTATGTGCCTCTTCCAGGTGCAGGACCGCAAACAGCCTGTGCACCAAGGAACACAGGTTTTCCATCTCTGTCGTGTGCTTCCTGCTGGCTTTCTCTGAGAAGAGACAAGGGAAATCCAAGGCAGTCACCCTGTTTCTTCCACACATAGCTGATGTGTGTGGTGGGGGCACATGCCTGTAATCTCAGCACTCAGGAGGCTGAGGCAAGAGGATCACTGTGAGTTCAAGGTCAGCCTGGGCTACATAGTGAAGCCCTGTCTCCAAAAAACCAAAACAACAAAATATATAGGAAGAATCCGGGGAATACCCATATAACAGAATTCAGCTGACTACTGCTCCTTACCCTGTCACAGCTGAGTCTGAGGGCTGCCCTCCCACCCCAGCGCACCTCAGAACACACCCTGTCCCTGGTCTTCTCCCAGGACACACAGGGAAAGGAGTGGTGCACAGCCAGGTAGAGGAGTACGACATGTTCAAAAAGCCACTTCCAACAATGGAGTCACATAAACGAAGCACAGGTCAGAAGGCAACGCATGCGTTCATTCAGGACGGGAGGAGACCAGAGCCTGCCACTGCGGCATGAGGACTGCGCTGAGCTCGAGGCTGTCAACAGGCAGGCGAAGAAGTGCTTTCTGGTCCCCTCTCCACGCATTCTCCCGGCTGCCCCTTGCTACAGAGGAGAGCGGAGGGTGGTCACCAGGGCTAGTTGAGGCCCCTGCCAGCCTCGAGAGGTCCCTAAAGCAATCTACGCCACAGATGTTCCCGGCTTTGATCTGCCGTTCATGATCTGCCTTCCTAGTTTGCTGCCCCCAGTGACTCCTTTTCTGTGTCTTGTCACTTCTTTGAAAGTGTGTGTTACGGACTGAAGACACGGAATACATGCAGCTGAATCACTCCTGCCCTGGCTGCCTCCCACTAAGTACGACAAGTCCCCATTAATAAATTCCCCTTTGTCTCTACCAACCCCTCTCCTGCTACCAAGGCTCTGCCGGTGTGTGGAACAGGAGCAGAACCTCTCTCCCCTTACGGGCTGGTCAGTCTCACCTAGCATGTCTGCACAGACGTTCTCCTGAGGACCGTGTCTGTTCCTGGACTTTGTAAGGGGGCTGGAGGTGATGCCCAGAGGTACAGCACCCTGACTTGGCAGGCCGAGCCCCCCGGAACCAGCCTCAGCCCATGGTCCCCTCTCTCTCTGCTGCCCTCAGTTCTTCCAGACTTTGCTGTGCTTCTCAGCTCTGGCCACCCCTGCACTAGGACTCTGCATAAGTGCAGAGCTGGGGCTCCCTGCAGGCGCTGCAATCCCGCAGTCAGAGTCCTTCGAGACCGTGACAAGCCTGGGCCCAATCCCCAGAGCCACAAAGCAGGGAAATGTGGGAGTGTTTAAAAGGTCTGTGTCTACATATGGAGAAAAGGTTTAGGAGAACAGCAAAGAGAAGGCGTGACTCTGACTTGGCAGGGAATTAGTTTTCTTTTCTTCCTTCCTGTTGAGTATTTCTGGCATTCAATTTAAAGCAGCACAGAGAAAATGAGACAGATAAGGAGACAAAGGAGGAGGTTCTGGGGCAGCAGACACAGAGGCTCTCAATAAGAACAAAGAAGTGGGCCTACTTTTATCCATTCTGGCTGGGGGAGGAGTTTGGGAGGTGGGCAAAATGACAGATTAACAGCGGATTTGAAGAAGCATCTGCTTGTGTAAAACAGGAGATAGAAAGACTAACTGGGGGCTGAGAATGGAGGCTTGGGCGGTTGTGGAGTCTTGGGATTAGAGCGGGCTCAGTGGGAGGTTTATCTCTGGAATGAGGAGAACATAGAATTTACTCTTGGAGAGAAAAGTTATTTCTCTGGGTTTGGTACCAAGCTGGGAAGATGTAGCTAAATCTCAGGCTAGCAGAACCTATCATTCCCTTCCTTTTTGATTTATGGGTAAACAGGGGCAGCATTTATCTTAGACTGCTTCCTGCTGGAGAGCGGCGTCACACTGGGGGCTATTGCAGTTGTCAGCATGATGTCTTAGGCCCACATAGATGCTGGTACCAGGGGTCTCAGGCAGGACAAGGAGCTTTCTTCTGGTAGTGAAGGTCTGTATCCTGGATTGAAGATATCTTGGGGAAAAGAAGTTTAAAAAGATAGTGAGCTATAAGTAAAAATATGAGTAGTATGAAAGGTCCCATCACGGGGAGAAGATGGGGACCAATCCCCTCAAAGAAGACCAGATGGAAAAACCTTGTCAGTGATATTAATGTTGCTGGAGGGTCTCAAATGTTTGCTTAAGGAGAGAAGAAATGGAGAGTGGTGGTGTGGGGAGTCCAGGCATGTGGGAGAGAGAGAAAGAGACAATGTCAGAAAAAATACTTAGGAGTGGGGCTTTAATGGGCGTCGAGTGAAATGTGAGACCCCAGGAGGGGCCCACCCTGTCATCAGAGGCATATCTCTGTTTTGTCTAAGCCGTACTGGTAAGAGGAGGTGTTTTGGATGAAGTAATGTGTTCTGTTAGTTGTTATAGTTATGCTTCCTGTTTGTGTGGAGGGGTAAGACTGACAGTATAGGAAAGAAGCAGTGACGGATGTATTGATGGCCGCGTAGTTAATCATTGTGAGGGTATTGCTATCCGTTTTGGAGATGGTGAGGTGAAGGTGGGAGCACTGTGGGAGCTGGTATAAAGGGCAGACAGAGGCTGGGTTTGAGTTGGGGTTATTTGTTGTGTGTTGTATTATTGGAGAATTTTGGTTTGAACTCAGTATTTTAGGTTGGGATGTGTGTGGGAGAGAGGAACAGTGAGGCTGTGGAGCAGGCTGTCAGTACAGTGATGTGTCCTAGGAGAATGAGCAGGAACAGCGGAAGTGGAGGAAGACTGAGAGCTTCATTTTAGGCAGTGTCAGGTGTTTGAACCTAAAGTTGTAATTAAGAATAGGAGAGTTTTGGTGTTGTAGGGAGAGATGGCCTGCACTATGACAGTGAAGATAAGAACCAGCAGGAAAAAATGACAAGGAAGTAAAGAGAACAACAGAACACTGGACTGTGAGTGGGTGATGCAGAAGTGTGTACGTCTTATGATGAAATGTGTAAATCTATTAGTTTTTATGTGGAGAGTGTCCATGAAGTTAGTGGGTTGGCAAAGAAGCAGATGAGTGTCTCTGAGGAGAGGTTTTAGCACAAAGATAACAGCTGTGAGTGACTTGATGAATATATTTTAGAAAGGGATGAGTAGTGACTGTAGTTAGAAGTTTGAAGAAGGCTTGAGTGTTTATATGAAAGCAATTATGTATGGTAGTGATGATGTCTAAGGTTTCTTGACCTGGGAGGAGGAGTTTTGAGTTTAAGTGGGTTTGTGAATTAATTGTGATAGTGTAGGTGAATATTGAGGTAAGTGCAAGGTGTTTGAGATAAGGGGGAGAAGATGATAGAGATATGGCTGTTGTGTAGCTAATTTGGCCTGTGTGTTTGTAAAGATATTATCCTGAGAGCGTCTGACAATGTTTGGTGTCCCTTATAGTAAATGACTGTTGTCTGTGTTGGAAGTTGTGTAGTCTCTAGCAGTTTGAAAATGAGAGGTGTATTAGTGATGGGGGTCTCTTGAGTATTAATTAAATCATTTCCTTCTTTTTTCGGGGGGAGGGGGCTGGAATGACAAGCATGCACCACCATGCCCTGCAGGCCAGGATTTATTGAGGACTTGCAATAGAGAAGAAGGTTCAGTGTGGAATGAATCAAGACTTCTGATTTATGGGAGGTACACAGACGCTTTAAAGGGAGAGAGAGGGATCGGGAGGGGGGAGTGCTGGCTCAGGTGGTGGTCAGTGGACAGCGAAGTCAGAGTGAGCTGGCCTGTGGAGAAATGAGCTTCTTCAGTCTTCACAGAAAAGCCTGAGAAGCTGAGAGGACAGGTTACAGCGGGGCCCCACTGCCTAGATTGAGGCCTGGGATCCCGCACCCCAGGAAGATCTTGAGGAGAGCCGTGCAGGCAAGGGCGGTGGGCAGAGCAAGCCTGGAGCTGCAGGCCTCGAGGTCTGTGCAGCCGGTCCAGGCCCATCTCAGAGGCCAGGGCTTCTACTCCCAGGCTTTGGCGATGCAAGCTCAGTTGCTACGGTGTGCAGCGTTCTGACCGCTCTGGGCCTCGAGTGGCCACGAGCGTGTGCACGCTTGAGTGTGTGCGTGCTCGAGTGTGTGCCCCAGCTGGCTGCGCTCTGAGCCTGTGGCTCATCCATGCTGAGATCGGGGCCTCATGGAGAAGAAGCGCGGGAAGCCTGCTGGAGCCTGGTCTAGCAAGGAGCTAGCTTTCTCTGCCAAAGCTCAAGGACAGGGGCCTCTGGCTGTTCTGCTTCAGAAGCAGGCACCACACGGGACCTGTCAATCACAGAAAGCCCAGACAAGCCCCAGGAAAACAGGTCCAGGCCCAGCACCTAGGACCAATGAGAAAGCGCCTTCAGCTCTTCTGGCACAAAAGCAAGCAGGTTTTTGATTGGATGGCCTGGATATGACATAAAGGCAACACAAAAGACAGCTGTTGAGAATCTCTTTGCCAGTAACGGTATTCTGAAGGGCTCTCACCCTGCAGGGCGGCCTTCTTTCTCCCTTTAATAAACACAAAACCTCAATACCATAGAAAAAAAAAAAGCATAGGTGCCATGGAATTCATAGGTACATAAGCAACCTGATGTTTCAGACAGCTGAGTTGGAAATATTACAGGAAGTCAGACAGGTCTGTACCCTCCGAGGAGCTAGTGCATAAGATGGGATACCTTGCAACCTTGGAAAAGACAGGCGTTGCCCCCCGCCCAGGGCCAGATCTCAAGACAAAAAAGGCAAAACAAATACAATCACTCCCTAAGTGTAAACCTCATGGATTGGTATTCTAAATAGGTACAGATCACCTTGAGGAAGCCAGGAGTCACATACCAACCCCCTACAGGAAGAGTCCCTGCTCTTTAAAGCATGCCCACTTGCTACATGATTCACTTCCCCATCTGTCCCTGACTTGGTCAATTTTACCTGAACAATCAGTCTTACTGGTTGACCACATTTCTTTCCCACTTTATGCTCACCTTGCAAATTTCCATTTTCCTCCAACTTGGATCTTTCTCGCCTCGTGGCTTTA